AGTGCCGCCTCCACTGCCGCCAGATCCGGATCTCGCTGCTGGGTCTGTCTCAGCTGCTCGTCGTTTAGGCCCGGGAAGGCGCAGCCGACGTCCTCCTGGATCCGTCCGATCGGGTCCCGAGCCGCGGGTCCCGCGCTTGCCGGGCGGTCGACGGGATCCTCAGTGCCACCTGTGAGGGTTTCTGTGGCGCACACTGCACTCTCTCCTCGCTGGGGGGGGGTCAGTGGCCGCGGCCTCTCGGGGGTCCGTTGCCTGCCGGCAGCGTCCCCCCGTGAAACACGGGCAGGCCTCCTCCGCCCTCGTCTCGGCGTACACCGTGGGTCGCCTCGACAAGGCGTCCGCGTTTGCATGCGTCCGGCCAGCCCGATACTCGATTTGCAGGTTGTACTCCTGCAACTGCGCCAACCACCGGGCCATCTGCCCCCGCGGCTCCTTGAATGTAAGAAGAAACTGCAGAGCATAATGGTCAGTGCGTACGCGACATCTCCTGCCGTACAAATACGGCCGGAACTGTTTGCATGCGAAAATCACGGCGTACAACTCTTGGCGGGTCACGCAATAGTTCAGCTCGGCCCCACTCAAGGTCCGGCTGGCGTACGCGATGACTCGTTCCGTCCCATCCTGTACCTGTGACAACACCGCGCCCAGCCCGCTGCTGCAGGCGTCGGTGTCCAAAATAAAATCGGTGGTAAAATCGGGGAAAGCGAGGGTGGGGGCGTGGGTGAGGTGGTCTTTGAGAGTGGTGAAGGCCGTCTGGCAGGCCCCCGTCCACTGGTAGGGGTGCTTAGGGGAGGTGAGTTGGGTGAGGGGGCGTGCAATCTCGCTGAATCCCTTTACAAATCGACGATAATAGGTGGCGAGCCCCAAAAATGATCTGATCTCCGTCAGATTCCTTGGCCGTGGCCACTCCACTACGGCGCGTACCTTCTCCGGATCGGTGCGCACGCCTGCCTCGCTGACGCGATGCCCGAGGTACCCCACCTCGCGTTGTGCGATGTAACACTTACGTGGCTTGAGCTTGAGATGAGCCGCTCGCAGTCGCTGGAACACCTCTCGAAGCCTGGACCAATGCTCAGACAAAGATCTACTGAACACTATCACATCGTCCAAGTAAATCAGGCACTGTTCCCACTGCAAGCCCCGCATCACCAACTCCATCAACCGCTGGAACGTCGCGGGCGCGTTAGTGAGTCCGAACGGCAACACTCGAAACTCAAACAGGCCCATCGGGGTGGTGAATGCTGTTTTTGGCCGATCCTCCTCCGTCATCTCCACCTGCCAGTAACCGGACGCCAGATCGAGGGTGGAAAAATACCGCGCTCCTGCGAGACTGTCGAAGGTGTCGTCGATGCGAGGTATGGGGAAGGCATCGCCGAGCGTGACTGCGTTTAGTTTACGGTAATCGACGCAGAACCGGGTTGACCCATCCTTTTTCGTTACTAGTACCACCGGGGCTGACCAGGGGCTCGCCGAGGGCTGAATTATGTTATCGCGAAGCATGTCCCCAACTGCCTCTTTGATTTGGGCGCGTTCGGGTGCGCCCACTCGGTACGCAGGGAGTTTGATGGGTCGGGCTGCACCGGTGTCAATTTGATGCTTAACAAGGTCGGTCCGACCCACGTCCGAGTCGTGTTCGCTGAACACGTCGGCATACTCCCGCAGTAACTCGCGCAGCCGATCGGCCTCTCCCTTAGGTAAGTCCGCCCATGGTACATGTAACGCGTCGAGCAGGGGAACGACCTCGGCTCGGGGAGTCGGGCCGACTCGCCAGGCCAGGTCCTGCTCACCCTCAGGACGACCGGGGTCCTCAGCCCAGAGTGCGAACACCGAGTCGTTAGAGTGGCGTGCGTGCAGGGGGTGTACTGTGGCTATCGGGGTGCGCCGTCGCAGTATCGCGGGGGTATTGTGGGGGTTAAACATCCGCATAAACAATCGGTCCCCATCTGCGTTTACCAACGTGGCGGATCCCACAACCCCATACCGTTTTGCCAACTCCGGGTGAGGAGTTAGCATTACCTCCCCTGATGGTCGGAGCGCGGGGTCGGTGGGGGATGTTGCCACCGGCACCAGCATCTCGGTGAGCGGGCCGATGGTGACTGCCGTCGCCAGGATAGCGGCCACAGGTGCAAAGCGGCGGCGCGTTGGTTCTCGTCCCAGGAACGGTATCCGCTCGCCGTTGCTCTCCATGGTGGCGCATCGCTGGCGGGGTTGCACGTTGAGTCCCAACCGTTCTAGGAGGTCGGTGCCTGCGATACACTCGTGACACAACGCACTCGACACGTAGAACTCCTGCGTGCACACCTGGCTGCCTATGCGGACCTCTAGGGTGGCTTTCCCCAGCAGCCCCATTCCGGCTCCGCTCGCAGTGTGCAGCGCGCGGTCCGGGGCCTGCAGGTGACGCACGTCGACCCCGATCGCGCTGCAGTGCGCTGCGCTCACGAGCGAGGCCACCGCCCCCGTGTCCAGCAGGATTCGGGTACGCACTCCGTTAACCTCCCCTTCCACCAGCGACGTGGCCCCCGTGATCCCCGCCACCAGCTCCCGTAGCCAGTCGCCAGGAGTCACCGTTTCTGTGGGCGTTGTTGCTGGAACCTGTGTGGAGATCACTCGCTCGCCATTATTCTCATTATCGTCTATTTGTATCGGGACCGCGTCGATTGCACCCCTAGTTGGTCCGCTCTCTAGGGGGCGTTGGAGTTTAACCCCCGCGTCTGTCTAGCTCGGGTGATTTCAGGACAAGTCCCTCACTAGATGCCCTCGGCGATCGCACATATAACATGCCCGGGGAGGGGGGGCGGTTCCGTAGCGGGTCCCCTGTCCGCTCCCTCCCCCCCCATTACGCCGCTGTCCACCCTCTGCCTCTAGTCGGGCTACCCTCCCAGATAACCCTCCCACCGTGGCGCGTAGGTCCCCCATTTCGGATCGGATGGTCTCAACGGAGGATTGCAGTTGGGTCATATTTTTATTCGTTTCCTCGCGTACCTGGGTTACCCTCTCACCTACTTGGTTTACCTTGTTGTCTATCTGGGTTACCTGGCCGGAGACATCCTTTATACCCGTTGTATACCGGCAACCCATCCCGGGGTTGTCTCGCTGGGACACTGGAGGCTCTCTTTCCCGGCCCCTTACCGTCCTCGCGAGCTCCTGTTCCTCCTCCTCGTCTTCCGAGAGCAGGCTCGCAATGGCGCGCTCTCGTCCCAGCCCCCGGAGCTGCGCGCGTTCGCTGTGAATTCTTTCACACTTACGTGCGCGCTCGACAAGGGTGTTAAACGGAAGACGTGGGCAGCTCATGTCTGGCTGCCACCACGCCGTGCGAGACAGGTACCGCTGGATTTTCTCGGCGGCCAGTTCCTCAATAACATCAGTTGCGTACCCCGGGCGTGCGATCTTTGTTAACTCAGCGCACATCCTCGGCGTAATCACGTAGATCTTCGCCAGGTTGGCGCCGGCGCGCCTCTAAGGCCGATTTTGCTTCCTCCTCGTCACGCGTGCCAAAACGCTGATCGAGTCGGCGCATCAGCTCCTCTAGCTGTGTCTGTGCGCTCGCGGGTAACGCTTCTACAAAATCGGCTGCCCGCCCATCAAGATTCATATTAAGTTGACGTACTGCCTGCGCGTCCGTCCATCCATTAATTTCCTTGGCCCCTAAGAGATTGCGGGCGAATGCCTTCCACGAAGGGGCCCCCCGGCCGGTAAATATTAGTCTTATTTTAGCGTGAGGTAACGCGGGGGTCCGTACCGCTTCTGACACCAATTTGTGGGGTCGCTAGCCCCCGAAATCCCTCCCTCGATAATGCTAACGGCCGGGCTAGCATCATCAATCGCCCCCCCGCTGCTAAGCGAACCGCTGCTAAGTTCCTCACCCATGGTGTGGGAGCCGTCGCCCGAGGGTTCCACTCCACCGCGGGTCCGCGTAGCAGGCATGGTTAATTACGTACGCGCACACCCACACACAGCTCTGTACGGCACTCACTCTTGCGCTTCTCTGCGCCGCGCTGGCCGCTCACGTTACAATCGCGCACCTGGGGTACGCCGATTACGCACGCCGCGAGCTTACGCACACACAGTACCACACGCGTTCCCACACGCAACCCGCGCGCTCAGCTCCGCGCAGCGCTCACTCACGTGGCGAACCACTGTGCACACAGCGCACCCACACGCTCACACTGCACGACAAGATCACGCGAGACCACGCTTCGCTATTAATGATTTATTATATGCCACCTGCGAATTGATGTTGAATCAGTGAGTCGACGAGGCTGGCCTATTCCACTAAACCTGTACCTATTCCCTATTTATCGGCTATGATTCTAATTCCCCTTCTTACTCACTGTTAAGTGTCCACGGCGGTCCGCTGATCCTTCTGTTAACCGCGTGCCTCGGTGCGTCGCACGGACGTCCGGGTCGCTGGCTCGAGCTGCGTCTGGTCGCCTGGCGCTGGAGTAAGAGAGCGATTTCCCCTCTGCGCTCCTCTATTTATCCTCCCTACCTCCCAAAGGGGATGCTGCGCTGAACAATGGGCTCGTGCACCCCAAGCCCGCGCACGGCAGTCCCCAGGCGCTGTTGATATGCTAATCAGTGTGCTGCGTGCAAGGCGTAAATCCTAATTACTCCCTTACCCTTCCTACCAATGGGGCTTGCGCGCTCAAGCGCAATTATCCCAACCCTCCATGACTATGCGCAACAGCCCCTGTGACCCCGCTATTCATGCTGTCCCGTGCCTCCCCTGCTTGCCCCGTCGACTCGTGGGGTGTGTGTGGGGGGAAATGCGCCTCAACCGCGGTGGCCGAATGCCCCACGCCGCGACCACACCATATTAAGGCCGGCAGCAGCGCCGCGGTACCACGTAGCACGGGGGAGGTCATCCAATTCCCTGATCGCCGGAAACCGTGAGAATTAATCCCGATAAGGGTCTCTCGGATAAAAACCGGTCGATCAGGTAACCTTCCCTTCCAGCTCTATGGGGGGGGGGGGGGGGGGGGATGCGTGCGGGTGTGTGCTTATGTGGGGCGGGTGATTGGGGGCAGTGCGGTGGGGGAAGCCGGGCGGCTCCCTGGCTCGGCAGAGCGGCCCCGTCGCTGTGGCACCACACTTGCCCTGACCGAACAATGTCTCCCAAATGTTGGTTGTTCACTTGTTTAGAATTATAATTTATATCGTGAGCATTGTCGTATATTGCATAAGTAACGTACATTAAAGAAGTGATCTTCGTGATGATGTATTAACTAGATGCATGTAAGTATGAACGTTACGGGAGTAATCGAGCCCAAAGGCAGGCGTGATAAACACAGTGAGTATGTTGGCAACTCCCTCACTAGAGCTGAGTGCTGGATGATCTCAGCGACGTCCGCATTCAGTACGCCGCTTCTATAATATCCTCGGGCCTGTAGGACACTCGGTTCGAATTCGTGAGAGCGCTGATTTCGGTAAATAAAAGCGACGTCTTGAGATGGCGGAAACTGCTCCTGCTCAACCACCAGCTGCGGCTACTTCAGCGCCTAAAAGCCCCAAGAAGAAGCGCGCCGCTCCAAAGGCCAAGAAGGTCGGCCCCAGCGTGTCCGAGCTCATCCTCAAGGCTCTGGCCAGCAGCAAGGAGAGGAACGGCGTGTCTCTTCCTGCGCTCAAAAAGTCGCTTGCTGCCGGAGGATACGACGTGGAGAAGAACAATGCCCGCGTGAAGTTGGCCATCAAGAAGCTCGTGGCCAAAGACGCCGTGGCGCAAGTGAAGGGCAGCGGCGCGTCTGGCTCTTTCAAACTCAACAAGGAAAAGGCTGCCGCAAAGGCGAAGCCCAAGTCGTCAACGGCAAAGCCCGCAGCTAAAAAGCCCGCGGCAGCCAAGAAGGTGAAGAAGCCCGCGGCAGCCAAGAAGACCGCGCCCAAGAAGTCTCCCAAGAAAGCAAAGAAGCCCGCGGCTGCCAAGGCGGCCAAGAGCCCCAAAAAGGTGAAGTCGGCTGTTAAGCCCAAGAAGGCGGCGAAGAGCCCAGCCAAGCCCAAGGCTGCGAAGCCCAAGGTCGCTAAGCCCAAGACCGTCAAGGCCAAGGCCGCCAAACCCAAGGTGGCCAAGCCCAAGAAGGCCGCGGCCAAGCCCAAGAAGACTGCGCCAAAGAAGTGAATCCGATGGGACGACCGACGCTCGATTCACTCCACCTCAACGGCTCTTTTCAGAGCCACCCACTTCGTTAAAAAAGTGAACCAGATGCTGCTGCGCTTCAATTAGTTCAAATTAACTGTGTAACATTTCACCCACTCGATGTGTTTTAAGCATTGATGTGATGGGAGTGATCGAGCCCGAAAGCAGGGATCACAAACAGGCGAGGCGGGTGGCAGCTCCCTCACTCGAACTGAGTGCAGAGTAATCTCAGCGACGTCAGCATTCTCGCTGGCGATTCTAATCTAAATCCAGATTCAAAATCGATGCATTCTTGACGAACCTCCAATTTTGATTATGTGTTGCACCTCTTCATTCCGTCATCATGCTACTGGTGCCAAATATGGAATTTAGTCTAAAAATGTATTGATTCCAGACAGCTTTACTCATTTGCCTTCATTCGCTCGTTCTCGCCTTTTCACTTTGTTTTTGTTTTGTAAACATTGCGGTGCACCATCTAAACTTCTCTATTAAATTAATTTATATACGTAAATATCGCATTGTTTGCAATGTCTTTCTTACTTTGGGAGAACTAGTTGGTGACGTTCACTCAACTATTGTATTATTCACTCTACGTGCAATCTTGCAACAGATGGCGTTCCTCTGGCGTTCGCTGCGGGTGTGCCAATATCATTCCAGAGTGCTTCGAAGAAGGGCCATTGCCCAAAACGTCGCATATTATACATGTCAAGGAAGTGTTATTGACGACGGTGGAGGGTTTTCTTCGTCGCAGAGGTTAAAGGTGGAAGGTTTAAGGCGGAGCCATCGCGGAGGGCAGGGGTGGTCGGTGACGTCGCCACGCTTCGGGTATAAAGGCGGCTGCTGCTGCAAGCTGAGCGCGCAGTCTCTCGCGAGGAGCTTTGTCACAAGTAGTCGCAATGTCTGGACGCGGTAAAGGCGGTAAGGGGCTCGGCAAGGGAGGCGCAAAACGCCATCGCAAGGTGCTGCGCGACAACATCCAGGGCATCACCAAGCCCGCCATCCGCCGCCTCGCTCGCCGCGGCGGTGTGAAGCGCATCTCGGGCCTCATCTACGAGGAGACCCGCGGCGTCCTGAAGGTCTTCCTTGAGAACGTCATCCGCGACGCCGTCACCTACACGGAGCACGCCAAGCGCAAGACCGTCACCGCCATGGACGTGGTCTACGCCCTCAAGCGCCAGGGCCGCACTCTCTACGGCTTCGGAGGCTGAGCGCCCATCTCTCGCACACTAAGCCAACCCAAAGGCTCTTTTCAGAGCCACCCACCTCTTCGAAACTGCTTGCGCCAGTGTTGCCAAACACGCTCTGAATGGAGCACATGTCCTGGGTTGTTGCGCGCCAAGTCCTCGTGAGCGTGCTGGACGTTTGCTTGTTGAGTTGGCGAATCTTCATCTGCTTCCACATGAATGAAAGAAATGATATTCACGTCACATTTAACAAGGCGTAATTCTTGAACGCCTTAATACAGAACCCATTTCTGGTATTTGTGCGTGAATTATTTCCAGCTGCAGCCGATTCCGATATTACGAGGAGCATTTGGCGCCACAATCTTACAGCACACTCGTCCTAATTGACGGAGCGTGCCGGAATGCTAATCTCCACCTGTACAGCACAACAGCGAAGTTATTTTTCTCCACCGAGCGCTTGTATTTTTCCAAATTGTGTTCATAAAACGCCCGTGCGCCGTATTAGACGAGTGGTGAAACAATCCCTCGTAAGAAACAAAAAACCCACGCTCAAAACACAATATACTGTATTGGGTTTTCCAGTCATCCTTTTTAAAACAAAGGCAATGCCATGGCTGCAATTCACTAATATACATGTTTGGACACTACATTGTGTTATATTCACAAGTCCTTTTGGCAGTAAAATCGATATTAAAGTGAACATCGCGTCCGCGTTTCTCATTGGAGGCTGATGGAGAGGGACGGTACTAAAAGAGCCACTCAGCAGCGCCGCGCACTACGATCCTCTGATTTGCATCTCGCCTCCTATAAAAGGAGCTCAACGCGCGAGCGACATCCACATTCGCTTCCCGTCTGTTCTGACCTGAAGCTGCTGCCTACGACGCGTCGACATGCCCGATCCTCCCGCATCAAAGAGCGCTGGGCCGGCCAAGGTTCCTGCTCCCAAGAAGGGCTCCAAGAAGGCTGTGACCAAGGCTACGCGCAAGGATGGCAAGAAGCGACGCCACCGCAGGAAGGAGAGCTACGCCATTTACATCTACAAGGTGATGAAGCAGGTGCACCCCGATACCGGCATCTCGTCCAAGGCAATGAGCATCATGAACTCGTTCGTCAACGACATCTTCGAGCGCATCGCTTCCGAGGCGTCCCGCCTGGCGCACTACAACAAGCGCTCCACCATCACTTCTCGGGAGATCCAGACCGCAGTGCGACTGCTGCTCCCCGGCGAGCTGGCCAAGCACGCCGTGTCGGAGGGCACCAAGGCCGTCACCAAGTACACAAGCTCCAAGTGAAGCCTCGACTCCACCATTAATTACAAAGGCTCTTTTCAGAGCCACCCACCTCTCCGAACCTGCTTGTACCAGTCCTAGCAGGAGTACTAAACGAAACTTCCAACAAAGCCCCGGTTCACGCGGGGACATTGTTCGCTCATTGAGTGAAATGGAGAGATGGAACGCATTTTAACCTGTTTCCACGTGAATAAAAGCGATAACAATATTCATGGCACATTCACCAGCAGGCATTTCTTGGACTTGTTTGTCCATTGATTTCATCTGCAGCCCATTCAGATATTACATTGGATATTTGGTGCCAAAACCTTGCAATGCAATATATTTAATTCGTGGTTGTATTTTCGGGCAGGAACTAACATTTTGCACGTGTGCATCTATGTAAAAGTAAGCGCCTAGCATGGATGACTCGTGCAGTATAATTGATGATCATCATCTCAATGCCAAGAGAATAGATATCTATCCCTGTGATCACCTCTTTCCGACAATTTTACGTATTAACTTTGGAGCTTTCGTGACTGCAGGAATTATTCTTTGGTTCTTTCGGTAAAGTCACGTATATAAAGAAACAAATTGGTGATATCTGTCTGCTTATATGTCTGTCTATAATTTTTTCTGGTTCGATTTTATGTCGCTATTTCATTATACCTGATGATTGCTTGTGTTGCAATCGAAACGTCGTATGCTGTAATATATTATTTTTTCTTTATACGTGACTTTACCGAAAGAACCAAAGAATATTTTTTACGTATTACTGTTTCCAATGAAGTGCAGTTTCTTCACACTTTATTTAGATCATGCGGAGCACTGTAAAGTTGTTTTCGGAAAGGTGTTTGCTTGAGAAAATAAGATCCGTTAAAGACATGGACGGCGCTCAAACGGAACTACTGCATCGTGATGCGGCATTCTGCAATGCTCCAAAGTGAGAACATTTCGTTGATGAAGAAGAGTTGACGACTCGAGATCATTGCACGCTGCCAACCAATCAGCACGCGCCCCTTCTTCGCACGTCACGACTCCGCTGACCAGTGAGCGCGCGCTCTGGGCTACATAAGCCGCCTTCTCCTCCCCGCCTGTGAGAATCTTTGCCCTCACCAAGCCATGGCTCGCACCAAGCAGACGGCTCGCAAGTCCACGGGCGGCAAGGCCCCCCGCAAGCAACTCGCCACCAAGGCGGCCCGAAAGAGCGCTCCGGCCACGGGCGGCGTCAAGAAGCCTCACCGCTACAGGCCCGGCACCGTCGCTCTGCGCGAGATCCGCCGCTACCAGAAGTCCACCGAGCTGCTCATCCGCAAACTGCCCTTCCAGCGCCTCGTCAGGGAGATCGCGCAGGACTTCAAGACCGACCTGCGCTTCCAGAGCTCCGCTGTCATGGCTCTGCAGGAGGCCAGCGAAGCGTACCTTGTCGCGCTCTTCGAGGACACCAACCTGTGCGCCATCCACGCCAAGCGCGTCACCATCATGCCCAAGGACATTCAGCTCGCCCGCCGCATTCGTGGCGAGCGCGCTTGAACGCCCAGCTCGGCCCTCAAAGCACAACACAAAGGCTCTTTTCAGAGCCACCACTTACTCGTGAGAAAGCTTCCATGTGTGTCCTTCAAAGTTCGGGTGCCGGAAACCATCGTTTGTTGGTCACGGCTCTCACGAGTCGTCAGGCGTAAGCGACAATGAAGTTCATTTCTATACCCCGCCGCTCATTCTGCAACATCACACGTTGGTGTTGTGTATAAGCGTTGTGAAACCATGTTTACATAATGTACAACAAAAGAGTTATTTTGGTGAAATGTATTTTACCTCAGAGTCGCGTGGTGGGTGTGGAGGCCTCGCACCGTGCAGAGCCTCCCGCCTCGCCTGATTTTGCCACCCGGCTGACGCTGGGTACGGGTGCCGTTTCCCCCCCCCCCCCACCGCGCTACAATAATACTGTGTAATCGCTATAATTTAATAATCTACCGACCCTATAATAGTAATAGCACACATTGTGGTGGGGGGGGGAGTAAAGAAGACGTGAAACTTAGATGAATTTACCTCAGAGTCGCGTGTTAATGCGTGCGCCTATTTTTAACGGGAATTAAAGATGGCGTCCACCCCGCAACTGCTAGCCCGTCGCTAGCCGTTGGCAGGGGCAACCGGCGTCCAATGAAAGTGCGTATGGTCCGACATCCACACACAGACAGACAGACATTCACGATTTTATATATATAGATTAAACCCAAAGATATTGGTTTATGCTGTTTCAAGCCCGAGCTGATAAGAAGTTCACATTTTGCAAACTGAGACTGAATTATTCACGCACATATATTTTTAGGCATTGCCCGAACAGGCGGTTAAAAAAAGATATCTATACACCGTATAGGCACGTGGGCGATCAATCACGAGCTCAAGGCTATCACAATGATTTCTTATAACCAATGCGGTCCCTCAAAATGATGATTATAATCAATAATACATTGATATTTGCGGAATCCGCTTATAAGTTTGACTTGCCAGCACGCGCCCATAAATTAACTCTATCATGCTTAAAACTTGAACCTATTAGGTACGTGTATCGCATTGTTTAATTCGTAAGATGCGTGTGCGCATTAAAACATATATGGATACGAATAATGAAAGTCAACATCGAATCCTCGCGTCCCGGCTTTTCATTGGTGGCTCAAGGAGAGGGCGGAACTCGAGCGAGAGGAGCCAATCAGCAGCGGCGCGCTCTACGATCCTCGTCTCCGCTATAAAAGCCGCTCCCGTGGTGCGTGTTAACGTCACAAATCGTTCGTACTTTGTCTCCAGTGCTTTTTGCATCCTAGGTCCCTTAACGATGTCTGGACGCGGCAAGACCGGTGGCAAATCTCGCGCCAAGGCAAAGTCCCGCTCTTCCCGCGCCGGCCTGCAGTTCCCCGTGGGTCGCGTTCACAGGCTGCTCCGCAAGGGCAATTACGCCCAGCGGGTCGGCGCTGGAGCACCCGTCTACCTGGCCGCCGTGCTCGAGTACCTTTCTGCCGAGATCCTCGAGCTGGCTGGCAATGCCGCCCGCGACAACAAGAAGACGAGGATCATCCCCCGACACCTGCAGCTCGCCGTGCGAAACGACGAGGAGCTCAACAAGCTCATGGGCGGCGTGACTATCGCCCAGGGCGGTGTGCTGCCCAACATCCAGGCCGTGCTGCTGCCCAAGAAGACCTCTCAGGCAAAGAAGTGAACGCGCCGCCGCCTCTACCACCACAACAACGGCTCTTTTCAGAGCCACCCACTTGCTTGCAAAGAGCTCGGACAGTCGTGCACAGGGGTTTTGTTATTAATAAGGACACCTCGATTTAAAGCTTTCGTGACTGCAGGGATTCATCTTCTTGGTTCTTTCGGTAAAGTCACGTACAAGGGAAGTAACAAAATAATAAAAATAAAACAATAAAATAATATATTATTTTATTATGTTTTATTTTTATTATAAAATAATATATTATTTTATTGTTTTATTTTTATTATTTTATTACTTCCCTTCTACGTGACTTTACCGAAAGAACCAAGAAGAAAAAAATAAGGACACCGTCGTCGAGTTACCCTCGTCCCAAATTGCTCGCAATTAAACGAATGCTCTGCTCATTCCAGATACCCTTTATGTCTAATTTAGGAACGGTATTTGAGCAGCATTCCAACATTGCATCAATCATGGAACATGGTTTAGAATAAATTGGGATGCCTATTTGAAAAAAGTATCGTGTTTTTTAAGGAATAAAACTCGCTCTTTTTGAGCGGTCAGATTACATATGAAGAGGAGTCGGAGAATGGTTCAAGCACTTTAAGGGATCTGCGAGCCACCCTCACGCACCACGCAAACACGACATCTCCGCTCTCACGACAACACGCACCAATCGCACGCGCGGGGAAGAGCTGGACGGGGGGGTCAGGGGTTAAAGGGCAGACACCGCTGGTTTCAAGTTCATTTCAAGTTCATTTATTAGGTATAGCCCTGTGAGCCATTCAGCTCTTGAATCGGGTGCAACCGCAACAAACAAAAAACAAAAAACATGAACAAAAAACATCTTAAAGTGAATATGTGACTAAGTGCAAACAGAAAATCCAAGAAAAGACAGCAAAAATATTGCAGAAAAAACACCGTACACCAACGCTGTGTGCAAAAATCCCAGTGGGATGCAAGTCAAACAACAACAACAACCACAAGACAACTTAGATTAAGGCCATCAGTCTAACTCTGTACTACAACAACACAAACATGGCTAAACCAATACACTTTTCGAAATCACCAAAATAAAGCCATGAAAGCAATGAAAAAGCAATCATAGGAACTGTGACGGAATTTTCACAATAAATGGCATAAACAACATGTACTACCAAAACCCTGCAGCCATAGCTGGCTGCATGAGTCACTCCACAGCAGGTCGCAAGAGACTGCGCGTGGCGCTTTGTGTTGCCGTTGCCATGAATCGTCGAAGCGCGTTCACGATCTGTTGTTCTCCTGTAACGCGGTGGTCATTTCGATTTAAAGCTTTCGTGACTGCAGGGATTCATCTGCTTGGTTCTTTCGGTAAAGTCACGTAAGATGGAAATAATAAAAAAATAATAATAAAACAAAAAAGTAATTGTAAAATTTTATTATTAAAATAAAAATGCTATTTAATAATAAACTAATGAAAATAAAAATAATAAGTAAAAGGTTTCTTTGTATTATTTTATTATTTAATAATGACGTCAACACCCCCCTCCCCACTGACTCGCGAGCCCACAGAGCAATGACGTCCACACCCCCCTCCCCACTGACTCGCGAGCCCACAGAGCGATGACGTCAACACCCCCCTCCCCACTGACTCGCGCGCCCACAGAGCAAGAATTGCAACAGGCGATGTCATTGGCTGCGCCGGATGCGACGGCCATCTTGTTTAGTTCATTTAGTTCACGGATCGCAGGGGGAGCGGGCGGCCATCTTGTCAGACAGAGGGACGGCCTCGCGAAGCCTGTCGCAGTAGGCCTCGCGAAGCCTCCTGCAGTAGGCCTCGCGAAGCTTTCTGCACTAGGCCTCGCGAAGCCTTCTCTGCAGTAGGCCTCGCGAAGCCTTCTCTGCAGTAGGCCTTGCGATGCCTTCCCTGCAGTAGGCCTCGCGATGCCTTCCCTGCAGTAGGCCTGGCGAAGCCTCCTGCACTAGGCCTCGCGAAGCCTCCTGCAGTAGGCCTCGCGAAGCCTCCTGCACTAGGCCTCGCGAAGCCTTCTCTGCAATAGGCCTCGCGAAGCCTCCTGCAGTAGGCCTCGCGAAGCCTTCTGCACTAGGCCTCGCGAAGCCTTCTCAGCAGTAGGCCTCGCGCCGTGCTTTTCGTGCACAAATAAGGCGATTAAATGTATCTTGTCTCTGTGTTAATAAATGTATCTTGTCTCTGTGTTAATAAAACGTGCTGCGTTTCAGTAAAGTAAATTTGAAGCGAAGTTTATTATTACACTTGTTAAGCCAGGAAAGCCCCACTGAGTCAAAAGGTTTTTGTAGGGTCCTGCCAAGTGTTTGCAGTAGGGGGCGATGTTGCTACCAGGATAGCGTAACTGAGTCTAAAGGTTTTTGTAGGGTCATGCCAAGTGTTTGCAGTAGGGGGCGATGTTGATACACGGACGGACGGACGGACAGTCAGACGGACGGACGGACGGACAGACACATTAATCTATTGGTGGTCTGGTCCACTTCGTTCCTACCAGTATAAAACCCCCACCCACTCCCCCCACCCCATCACCCCATCACTCCCCCCCACCCCATCACTCCCCCCACACCCCCCACCCCATCACTCCCCCCCACCCCATCACCCCCCCACCCCATCACCCCCCCCAACCCCCACTCCCCCCACCCCATCACCCCCCTTCACTCCCCGCCACTTCCCCCCACCCCCACTCCCCCCACCCCATCACTCACCCCCACCCCCCCCACCCCTCCCACCCCCTACTCCCCCCACCCCTCCCACCCTCAATTCCCCCCTCCCACCACTCACCAACCGCCATTCCGCCCCCACTCACCCCCACCCCCTCGTCCCCCTCTTCCCCACCCCCCACACCCCCAACCGCCATTCCGCCCCCCCCCACCCCCCACTCCCCCCCACTCCCCCCCCACCCCCCACTCCCCCCCACTCCCCCCCCACCCCCACTCCCCCCCCCCACCACCAACCGCCGCCATTGGCCACTGAGTGACGGTGACGTCACCACGGCGCCTGTGCCAGGCTGGGTGCACTTCGAGGCTGCCGCGTGAAGTGTCGACGGCTCGACACTGAGGTGGTGACATCACGCGAGCGTTGTGTTTAACGATTTAACGATATTAGCGTAAAGATATGAATGAGCATTAGCTCAAGTGATGTGAATACGTTCGGATTACCTCAAGTAATGTTACATTTACCTGAGGTAATTTTACCTCGCATAAGGTAAAGTTACCTCATTTGAGATGTTACCTTACCTGACGTAATTTTACCTTTGCCTGAGGTAATGTTACCTCGACCTAACGTTATATTACATCGCTTGAGGTAAAGTTACCTCACGTGAGGTAAAGTTACCTCGCCTTCCATTGAATTCCGATTATGTAACCCTGAGGTAATAATCACGCGATAATTGTGTTTAATGATTTAACTACGTGAGAATATTACGATATGGGCATTAGCTCAAGTGATGTGAATACGTTCGGATTACCTCAAGTAATGTTACATTTACCTGAGGTAATGTTACCTCTATGTGAGGTAAAGTTACCTCACTTAAGGTCAAGTTACCTCGCCTGAGGTAAAGTTAACTAACCTGGGGTAATGTTGCCTCTACCTGAGGTGAAGTTTCCTCACCTGAAGTAATTTTACTTCGCCTAAGATAAAGTTACCTCAGCTGAGGTAAAGTTACCTCATTTGAGATAATGTTACCTTACCTGACGTAAAGTTACCTCGGCCTGACGTTATATTACTTCGTCTGAAGTAAAGTAACATCACCTGAGGTAAAGTTACCTCGGCCTAACGTTATATTACTTCGTCTGAAGTAAAGTTACATCGCCTGAGGTAATGTTACCTCGCATGAGGTAAAGTTACCTCATTTGAGGTAAAGTTACCTCACCTGAGGTAATGTTATCTCGACCTGAGGTTACTAAGGGCACCACGGGGTGACCAGCTCCTCCCCACCCCCCACCCAGCCCCCTCCACTCAGCCCCACCCAGCCCCTCCCCACCCCCCACCCAGCCCCTCCCTCCCCACCCCCCACCCAGCCCCCCCCACTCAGCCCCACCCAGCCCCTCCCCACCCCCCACCCAGCCCCTCCCTCCCCACCCCCCACCCAGCCCCTCCCTCCCCACCCATCCCCACCCCCCACCCAGCCCCACCCTCCCTACCCAGCCCCTCCCTCCCCACCCAGCCCCACCCTCCCCACCCAGCCCCTCCCTCCCCACCCCTCCCCCCACCCAGCCCCACCCTCCCCACCCAGCCCCTCCCTCCCCACCCAGCCCCACCCCACCCAGCCCCACCCTCCCCACCCAGCCCCACCCTCCCCACCCAGCCCCTCCCCTCCCCAACCATCCCCACCCTCCCCACCCAGCCCCTCCCTCCCCACCCAGCCCCTCCCTACACGACGGACGGACGGACACATTAATCCCCTGTGGGCTGGTGTAACCAGGAGGTTCCTACCAGTAGTCAAGTGAGGATTCTATCTCACGCGAATTTTAAATCGTGTAAGATTTACGCTACGAGACGACTTCACGTTACGATTACAGCTACACATCTCGTACAGTGTTGACACGAGCGACTAATTAATTGTACAAGATTTACTTTGCACTGAATGAGAATGTCGCGGTGAAGATTACCTTATAATATAACGTGATTTGATACGGATTGCATCACATTCTGATTACCTTACCCTCAGTGCCGGATAAAGTTAGTTCGGGGCCTGTAGCATGTGCTAGAAAGGGGCCCAATAATTTTTTTTAAAACGTAAACATTAAAACACATTTTTTACTTGCACAGTAAAGTATTTGTATTTTTTCATTTGCTATACAGCCGGATAATACGACTAATCGCTAACCTTAAACACCCAGTCGTTCATAAAAAAAAAAGTTGAAGTCTGTACAGTACTATAGTAATAGAGCAAGTGCAGAATCAATTAACCCGAATTGATATCTTGAAAGCATTTAGCGCGGGGCCCTTGAAAGTGCGGGGCCCGTAGCATTTGTAGCAACTTTTGCGACTCCGATAATTATAACCCCCCCCCACTCCCCCCACCCCATCACCCCCCACTCCCCCCCACCCCCCACTCCCCCCCACCCCCCACTCCCCCCACCCCATCACCCCCCCCCCCACTCCCCTCCCACCACCGCCAATCGCCGCCATTGGCCACTCAGTGACGGTGACGTCACCACGGCGCCTGTGCCAGGCTGGGTGCACTTCGAGGCTGCCGCGTGAAGTGTCGACGGCTCGACACTGAGGTGGTGACGTCACGCGAGCGTTGTGTTTAACGATTTAACCACGTGACGATTTTACGATATTAGCGTAAAAATATGAACATTAGCTGAAGTGATGTGAACACGTTCGGATTACCTCAAGTAATGTTACATTTACCTGAGGTGATGTTACCTCATCTGAGGTGATGTTACCTCAGGTGAGGTAATGTTACCTTAGCTGACGTAATTTTACCTCTGCCTGAGGTAATGTTACCTCGACCTAACGTTATATTACATCGCTTGAGGTAGAGTTACCTCGCCTTCCGACAGTCTGTTAAGGCCACACGGGGGATCTTAGTCTCGTATCCCTGTGACTCTGTCTCCCTGTGACTCTGTCTCCATGTGACTCTGTCTCCATGTGACTCTGTCTCCATGTGACTCTGTCTCCATGTGACTCTGTCTCCATGTGACTCTGTCTCCATGTGACTCTGTCTCCATGTGACTGCATCTGACCGTCGTCCGCGTCTCGTCCCTCCGTGTCTCTGCGCCTCAGCAGCAGCAGCAGCAGGAGATGGGCGACTTCCGAGACATCAGAGGCTTCTTCACCAAGGCCGAGTGGAGCGATCTGGCCGAGTGCGAGAAGCGGCGCTACAGGAACATCAAGCAGAACCACGCCGTCCTGCTGAACCTCGGTGGGTACGGCAGGCCGAGCCTCTTCGCAACTCAACTAATTGTCGCAGTGATTATAATGATGAGACCAAGACGTCGTAGCAGAGTGGCATGCATGGGGCGCCATGGTGGCGAGATGTTAACTACCTCGCCTGGTCTACAGGAGGTCGTGGGTTCGATGGCGACCCTGACGATGCCTGTCATATATCTGGAGTCTGCGTGTGTCTCTCCCCGGTGAGATGTTAACTACCTCTCATGGTCTACAGGAGGTCGTGGGTTAGATCCCGGTCCTCCGGGTTTTTGCTCCACTTGTAGAATCAACATCACGCGTTTAGAGTATTTGTCTGCTGCTATAAATGTCCACGTGGTAAGCCACTTGGTTGAGCTGTCATTTGTGGCAGCCAGGTCGCTTCTGAAGAAGGAGCCAATAGCTCAGTGGACTTCACCTGGTGAAGTAAAAATAGATTTAGTTTTAGTTTAATGATTTGTTTACCTTTACTCTACTTTGCACGCCTATCGTGTTTGTGTTTTGTGTTGTAACTTTCTGACCCCGTGCCCCCTATGGGACATCTATGAAAAAGAGCTTCATAGCTCATCGGATTCATAATTCTAGTCACGTAGGTAAAAAATAAAATTAAAATTAATCAAAGTAAAATTAAAATTTATAAAAGTACTTTTATTAATTTAAATTTTATTTTTTACCTACGGATTCATAATGTTGGAGAGTAAACCCACAACATTTACAAAAATAGTTTATTTTGACTTAAAACTTTCGTGACTGCAGGAATTCATATTCTTTGGTTCTTTCGATAAAGTGACGTAGATAGAAAAACTAAAATAAAAATAAAGTGAATAATAAAAATGATAAAGCACTCATGTATAATCAAAACTTTTGAGTTATAAATTAGTCTTCTTGGTTCTTTCGGTAAAGTCACATAGAAGGGAAAAAAACATAAAATACAATTATTAAAATACAATTTTAATGTTTTCTTTTTAATATTTTATTATTTCCCTTCTACGTGACTTTACCGAAAGAACCAAGAAGATGAATCCCTGCAGTCACGAAAGCTTTAAATTGAAATGTATACATTAGTGTTTTTTTTATGGAGCAGTCTAATTAGTGTCTTATTTTTATAATTTTTTATTCACTTAATTTGTATCATTTGAACTGCCTCTATTGGGAGGGTTTCCACATAACCATGAGATCTTTTAACAATCTCCGTGACAAGAAAGTTCATCTGATCGAGTCACTCACATTTCTGAAGAGATGCCGTGACTCTAACGTAATACCGATCTCATTGACACTGATTTCTGCTGCAGTCACATCTTCCAATGCCAGACGAATTTTGTTCAGGGCGAGCTTGGCCCTGATCTCAGAGAGAATTAGACTGCTCCATACTGAACTAGATCATGTAGACAAGACACTCTTGAAATCACACTTAACATTGACGGGAAAAATGTCGACATCTGATTGGGAACATGTAGATAACATGACCGCTTAATCAGCCACTACAATGTCAGCGAAATGTAAAGATCTGATTTTCGAGTTCAACCTCCTTTCTAACAAGAAACCAGATCCACACGTTAAAAGGTTAGACGTTGACAAGGTTGTTATTAATCTGAGTAATAGCCCAATGTGCGATGGTCTAAAGTCGGTTTTGGCTAAAGGGTTGAACTTCTCAGTCACCCCCAAACACATTCCAGTGGATGACGTTATTGCCCAGGTCGATGTCGCTCTTAAGGGTTTGGGGCGCATCGCTGCAGACGTTACAAGATCTGAAATTGCTGCAACCCTCAAAAGCGCTAAGATACCAGTCAGCAACATCAGTGAGGATGAACGTTTTTGTGGTTTTTGATTATTTTTATTCACTTTATTTTTCTATCTACGTGACTTTGCCGAAAGAACCAAAGAATATTTACAAAAAAATGTATTTTGTGTGTGTGTAATTTGTTTACCTTTTCTATACTTTGCACTCCTATCGTGTTTACTGTATTGCTTGGAGTTATTGTAGCAGCCAAATAATATAAATGAACGTAGTAGCGGTACACCGTTGCGCTGTATGAAATAATCATCACATTTTTGGCAAAAGTTATTTATTTCCTCGCGATTCGAGACCCCAGACAGAAGGATATTTTGGGGTGGTGGTGGTGCGTCAAAATCAGTTGTCGTGATGCCAAAGCGGTGGGAAGACGGAACGTGACATGAGCAGCACTGAACACGAAGCTTCGCAGTCTGTTGCCGTACAGCGGCGCCCAGTCTGATGACGATCGGCTGCTCCGTGCTCCAGTGGCAAGATTGGACTCCTCGTGCCCCTAGAGACTCGGTCGGACGGTGCCTCGATACGACTCGTGGTGTCGCCACCGCACGTTCGGAATGGGGGACGCGGCTGCTGAATCTGAGTGCAACTTCTGATGGAGAGTCCTGCAGCTCACTCAAGGGGCAACGGCGACATCGTCGGGACTATGAAAAATAAGAATCGGTTTTACTCTTTATGGGAATGAAACAGGAGGTGTTAAGATGTTCAAACACCAGATAGATTATAGCTTTTGCAAGGAATCAGGTTACTGCATTAACCACGCGTACTGAACATGCAAACAAACACTCTCTGATAACATTTAATCATTGTCTTTGATACTGATTGGTCTACCCCAGAGACAGCCTTCTTCATGGCCTAGTCTCACCAGTGTCAGACCAGAGAACAACACCAAAAGGCGACCAGTACAAAGACAATGTAGTGTCAAGAGCATTTATAGCTCGGGGTGAGTAGCTATATCATTGGACCTTTTTGCCAGAATCAAAGTATAAAAAATAGGAATCGGTTTTACCCTTTCTGGCAATAAAACAGGAGCTGTTAAGATGTTCACACACCAAATAGATGATTCCTTTTTGCAAGGAATCAAGTTACTGCATTAACCACGCGTACTTGTGTTGAACACGCAAACAAACACGCTCTGATAGTAATCACATCGTCAGGACTGTGTTACGAGGACCCGGTGTGTTGCTATGCTGCACGGGTGTACTGCCAATACGTACAAATAACAATGACCGACTGCCTCCTTGCGCAGGGATGAACCCGGCCCAGCCCGAGTTCATGCGCGCACGCGGCAAGCGCAGGGCGAGGGGGAATAGAGCGGAGTGCGGGCGGTCGAGCGACTCCGACGAGGAGTGGACGGGGAGGAGGAAGAGGAAGGAGGTGGCGATGCACGGAGGACGAAGAGGCAAACGTAAAAGGGCGCTTGCAGACCGTGCAGAGACCCCCTGTAGACTCACACAGAGACCCCCTGTAGACTCACACAGAGACCCCTGTAGACTCACACAGAGGCCCCCTGTATACTCACGCAGAAACCCCCTGAAGACTCACAAAGAGACCCTGTGTAGAATCACACAGAGACCCCTGTAGACTCACACAGAGACCCCTGTAGACTCACACAGAGACCCCCTCTCGACTCACGCAGAGACCCCCTGTAGACTCACACAGAGACCCCCTGTAGACTCACGCAGAGACCCCCTGTAGACTCACGCAGAGACCCCCTGTAGACTCACGCAGAGACCCCTATAGACTCACACAGATACCCCCTGTAGACTAACACAGAGACCCCCTGTAGACTCACACAGAGACCCTCTGTAGACTCACGCAGAGACCCCCTGTAGACTCACGCAGAGACCCCCTGTAGACTCACACAGAGACCCCCTGTAGACTCCCACAGAGACCCCCTGTAGACTCACGCAGAGACCCCCTGTAGACTCACACAGAGACCCCCTGTAGACTCACACAGAGACCCCTGTAGACTCACACAGAAACCCCCTGTAGACTCACACAGAGACCCCCTGTAGACTCACGCAGAGACCCCTGTAGACTCACACAGAAACCCCCTGTAGACTCACGCAGAGACCCCCTGTAGACTCACACAGAGACCCCTGTAGACTCACGCAGAGACCCCTGTAGACTCACACAGAGACCCCTGTAGACTTACGCAGAGACCCCCTGTAGACTCATGCAGAGATCCCCTGTAGACTCACGCAGAGACCCCCTGTAGACTCACACAGAGACCCCCTGTAGACTCACACAGAGACCCCCTGTAGACTCACGCAGAGACCCCTGTAGACTCACACAGAGACCCCCTGTAGACTCACATAGACCCCTGTAGACTCACACAGAGACCCCCTGTAGACTCACACAGAGACCCCCTGTAGACTCACACAGAAACCCCCTGTAGACTCACACAGAGACCCCCTGTAGACTCACGCAGAGACCCCTGTAGACTCACACAGAAACCCCCTGTAGACTCACACAGAGACCCCCTGAAGACTCACACAAAGACCCCTGTAGACTCACACAGAGACCCCTGTAGACTCACAGAGACCCCCTGTAGACTCACGCAGAGACCCCTGTAGACTCACACAGAGACCCCCTGTAGACTCACGCAGAGACCCCTGTAGACTCGCTTGATGAAGCTGGTTGTAATCACCAGCGGAACCAAGTTAAATGCCCGCTCACGGCCAACACCAGTGACGACGATCCGAACTGGTCCTGAGCCTCCCCTAGGTTGACTCAGCGTCAAAATGAGTACCCGGTGCAGTGGTGTGTAGTAAACATCACAACTGGGGAGACAAAGACGGTCGGGCGTGTTGCTAGCTGCCCATCCCCCCGTGTGCCGTGCTGGCCTTCGTAGATGCTGCTTGCTGACAGCACTTGACCGCAACAGTCTGTGAAGGCTACACGGGGCATCTTTTTAATTGTGGACCGAGTTGGCACAGTCGCGGGCACAGGTGGTGCATCTGGCAGTCATCTCAGTAAACCTATGGCACCTGCAGGGTCCGTCTCGTGACCTGCACCTAGCCTGGCACAACAGTCAACCCATGGCATGGCACCTGGTTCTGTCCTGTGACAACAGTCTGTTAAGGCGGCACAGGGGAGATCATTGACTTTTTGGTAAATATGTGAGTGAGTAAATGTTTTCATGCGTAAATACGCGTGTGGGTGTGTTCACACGTGTGTGTGTGTGTTAATGCATTTCCGTGTGTTCACACGTGTGTGCGTGTGTTAACGCGTGTGCATATGGGGAGCGGTAGTGTAGCGGTTAGCGCGCTGCGCTATGAACCCGGCGACCCGGGTTCGATTCCCGCTCACGGTCAACACCAGTGACGATTATTTGAACCGGTCCTGTGCCTCCCCTATGTCGGCTCAGCCTCAACTGAGTACCTGGTGCGGTGTGTAAACATCACCACTGGGGAGACAAAGACGGTCGGGCGTGGTGCTGGCCACCCACCCCCTCGTGTACCGTTCTGGCCTTCATAGGTGCTCACTAACAGCACTTGCCCCTACAGTCTGTTAAGGCTATACGGGGGAGCTTTGTCCTTGCATATGTTCATGCGTGTCCGTGTGTTCACACGTGTGTTCACGTGTGTGCGTGTGTTCACGTGTGTGCGTGTGTTCACGTGTGTGCGTGTGTTCACGTGTGTGCGTGTGTTCACGCAGGAGGAGGCAAGGGGGCTGCTTCACGCTGGGCCACCGTGGGAGAGTCTCACGCGAGGGCAGCTTCCAGCAAGCGCAAGGTCTCTGTGCACAGCGCACGGCACTCCTCTCGTTACAGCTGCTGCTGCTGTTGTCTTTAGTTTGTTGTCCTTCCCCCGCACCTCCCATTAGCGAGGTTGGCTACGTACGGTGACAAAGACATTCAACGTACATACATACTACTAGACACTGCTATACCAGGGACGTGCGGTCAGGGGAGACGGGCGAGGCAGAGCCTCACCTGTCATATACTCCAATGAAAATAGCTGTTACGAAAAGTACAAAAAAATGTTCCACTGGTCTGTGTTATAAAAGTAATTTCTATATAATTATACCAGAGACGTGCGTCATTATTGTGGTGGTGGTGGTATTGGAACGCGCGCACACCAGCTCCGGTTAACTCCCATTACTTACCTGTGCGGGGCGGTTGTGATATCCCTAGCCGGGGCCCCTCCCGAGGGGAGGGGGCTGTGGGGTGTGTGTGATCCCACAGAACCCCGCCCCTCAGTGGGGAATCGTATAAAAGGCGAGACTCTGAGAGGAGAGAGTTAGTTCGAACAAGCCAAGGACGAAGAACCAGCTGAAGTCCAGCTAGCTAGACCCTGGGACTCCTCTGACCCGCTGTCCTTCTAAAGGCCGGGCAGAGCAAGCCAGTGGTGCGACCCCAGAGCCGCGAAGGCTGATGTCCTTGTAAGGGCCGGATTCGTGTGGCTGGTGGTCAGGACCTGTGCCTTGGCTGGGCCAGGTCAGGTAGTCTCCTTGAGAGGAGGGTCGTAGTATTGGTGGGGAGTCGGTGAGTTAGCTTGGGGAGTTAGCTCCCTTGAGAGAACGGGTGAAGAGGCCGTTACCTCTTCAAGTGTGAAGCTGTAACGGGCTCAGAGTTAATAAATATGGGTTGCCTCTACTTCAACTGTCTCTGTCGTCACGGTGTCCACTACATTATTATAATTAGTTTATTAATTAGTTGAGTTGTGAAGAGGCATGGCCTGCCATACCCACCGAGGTTCAGCATGACGGCATGGTTCTGCTTGATGTATGGAATCAGATTTACAGATTCAGAATATCAGAATTAAAATATGTATTGTACTGGAGGAATCCGATGAGGTGTCAGGGTCGAGATGGAACCCGCGACCTCCTGCGTACCAGGCGAGGGAGTTAACATCTCCTAGCCACCGCTGGTCACCGCACCAACTCCGCCCCCACACCCCCTCCGCCCCCTCACCCCACCGCCCCCTCCGCTCAGACTAAAGCGGAAGCCCTGGAGTACGTGTGGAGCATCTTGCAGGGCGTGGAGGAGGAGGAGCAGCAGGAGGAGGAGTTCAGGGGATTTGAGCTGAGGGAGGTGCACAAGGCCAGGATGGCGATGTTCAGGCTGGAGCGCAGAGCCACCGCCTGCAAGGAGGCCCTGAGGGTGGCGCTCCAGAGGATACGTGGAGGTGCGTAGCCTGCAGCGGTGATTTCTATTCCCACCGCAACTCCACACTCCCCTCTATTCTCACCGGAACTCCACACTCCCCTCTATTCTCACCAGAACTCCACGCTCCCCTCTATTCTCACCGGAACCCCACACTCCCCTCTATTCTCACCGGAATTCTACACTCCCCTCTATACCCACCAGAACTCCACACTCCCCTCTATTCTCACCAGAACTCCACACTCCCCTCTATTCCCACCGGAACTCCACACTCCCCTCTATTCCCACCGGAACTCCACACTCCCCTCTATTCTCACCGGAACTCCACGCTCCCCTCTATTCTCACCGGAACTCCGCAATCTTCTGTTAGTGCTGATGGAAGTCGCCACTGCTGTTGATGCTACTGCTACATGTGCTCCTGTCAGGGCTGCTGCTGGTACTGATGCAGCCTATGAACTAAACGATGTTTATTTTTCTTATTGGTTCTTTCGGTAAAGTCACGTAGAAGGGAAGTAATAAAATAATAAAAATAAAACATAACAAAACAATTCTCACGACGTTTCGGCCACAACGCAAGCAGCCGTCCTCAGGTGAAAACCAGGTCTGTCGAGGCGACAGCGTCTGAATGATACAGCACACGTGCTTGGAGCATATATATAGCTGGGTTGGAAGGGGGGAAAAGAGCGCCTTGACAAAAGAATATGCATATCAAGAGGCATTTAGCATATTTATGGGAAATGCAGGTATGTGATTAGTACTACTCATGCCCGTGCATTATGCAGGATTAGCAGCATCAAAGGGAGGGGATATGGGAAATGCAGGTATGTGATTAGTACTACTTATGCCCGTGCATTATGCAGGACTAGCAGCATCAAAGGGAGGGGATATGGGAAATGCAGGTATGTGATTAATACTACTTATGCCCGTGCATTATGCAGGATTAGCAACCAGGGTGTGCCCCACTGAGCTGTGTAGCTGTTTTTCAGAAGCGACTGGCTATCACAAATAAGAGCTCAACGAAGTGACTTGTCATCATCGTCATTACGTGGACATTTATAGCAGCCAAATATTCTCAACGCATGACGTTGGTTCTATATGTCGAGGGAAAAAAACGAAGGACCCGGAGAAAAATCCACGCAACCACGGGGAGGTATTCGCCATGAAAGTTTGCACAGACAAGGAATTTACTATGGCCGGAAGGTGCATACATTCAACATGTAGGAATCTTAAAACTGAAATGAGTGGTATACAGTCAAACTATACTAAAATTACAAAGTCTAACTAATACTAAGGGGCTAAAGTATGTAAAATTGTGAATAAGTGTACAATATAAAATGTAAACTAGCCATAATATACAATCTAAAAATACAAAAATACAAATAGGGTAACATGTTGTAAACTATACAGTCGGGATGGAACCCACGACCTCCTGTAGACCATGCGAGGGAGTTAACATCTCGCCACGGAGGAGAGAGAGACACGCAGACTCCAAATATACAGCAGGCTTCGTCAGGGTCGGGATGGAACCCACGACCTCCCGTATACCACGAGAGGTAGTCAACATCTCGCCGTGTTTGCCTGCAGGCTCCTCCGTGCCGCCGGCCTCCGCCCAGGCTGTGGCGGTGTCGCGCAGCGCTCGCTCTCGCTACGGCCTGCGCCCGCGCGAGAGGAAAGTCTACACAGAGGTGGAGGAGCCCCAGGACGACGACTTCTTCTGTGAGACCCCCTGCTCCCTCTCACTCTCTCTCTCACTTTCTCACTCTCTCTCTCACACTGTCACTTTCTCACACTCTCTCTCTCACTGTCACTTTCTCACACTCTCTCTCTCACTGTCACTTTCTCACACTCTCTCTCACACCGTCACTTTCTCACTCTCTCTCTCTCACTGTCACTTTCTCACACTCTCTCTCACACTGTCACTTTCTCACACTCTCTCTCACACTGTCACTTTCTCACACTCTCTCTCACACTGTCACTTTCTCACACTCTCTCTCACACTGTCACTTTCTCACACTCTCTCTCACACTGTCACTTTCTCACACTCTCTCTCACACTGTCACTTTCTCACACTCTCTCTCACACTGTCACTTTCTCACACTCTCTTAGGGCCGTCCATTAATGGCGTCACGCGATTTTGGACCCCCCTCCCCCCCATCACACGACATCACAAAAAGTCAGACCCCCCCCTCAAATGTGACGTCACAAAGCTCATTTAATATGCTTAAAATCGCTTCAAACTATTGTCATTGTAGTGCATATTTAATGTGGCACTGCAGTCTGATGTTGTAGGAGAAAACATTTATTAAAAAGTATTTAATTAAGTAGAACGTGTTGTCTGTGGTTCCTCACACATCGTCACAAATGTCTGACCCCCCCACCCCCCTAGGTGCATGAAGTCATTTATGGACGGCCCCTTACTCTAACTTTCTCACACTCTCTCCTATCTCTCTCTATTGCTCCCGCGCTCTCACTCGATATATTCCACCTGCTCCCTCTCACTCTCTCTCCCTTTCCCTCCCTCTCACACGCTCCCTTTCTCGCACTCTCACTTACCTCCCTGTCTTTTGCTCCCTCACTCAGGGATGCAGGGAGGGAGCAGGGAGGGTGACAGGGTTTACATCTCCGATGAGCGAGCTAAAGAAGTTCACAATGCAGAGAGGGAGGAAAGGAGGCATCTGTCTGGAGCGCTCCTCACCCTCTCACTCTCTCACAGTGCCACTGCTGCTGCTGCTGTTGCTACTGCGGTTCGCCCTCCTCCTGCTGCTGCTGCTGTGGCTCTCAGTCTGCGAGCTGTGCAGGGATTTCTACCTGGGGGAGTGCTCCGTGCACGGCCCGCCAGAGTTCATTGCAGACGCGGCCGTGGCCCCGGGAGTGGCCAACAGGGCCCGGCTCAGCCTGCCCCAGGGCCTCACCGTCGGCGCCTCCTCCATCGCCGGCGCCGGCCTCGGGGTGTGGAGCAACAGGAAGAAGCTGCCCAAGGGGGTGATTTTTGGGCCCTACCAGGGAGAGGTGTCTGAGGAGAACCCCGTGAGCGAGTACTGCTGGCTGGTGAGCTGCTGCTGCTACTGCTGCAGCCTCCTCCTATTCCTACATCATCATCGTGTGTGTGGAGAGGAGGCTCGTGAAGGAGATGCAGAGAAACCCATAGCCTCACACAGTCACCCACAGACTTACACAGAGATCTAGAGACTGGCACAGAGAGACCCAGAGACTCACAGAGACCCATAGACTCACACAGAGACCCATAGACTCGCACAGAAACCCATAGACTCACACAGAGACCCATAGACTCGCACAGAGACCCATAGACTCGCACAGAGACCTATAGACTCGCACAGAGACCCATAGATTCACACAGAGACCCATAGACTCGCACAGAGACCCATAGCCTCACACAGTCACCCACAGACTCACACAGAGACCCAGAGACTGGCACAGAGAGACCCAGAGACTTTGCACAGAGACCCAGAGACTCGCATAGAGAGACCCACAGACTTGCACAGAGACCTAGAGACTTGAACAGAGACCCAGAGACTCACAGTGGGACACACAGACTCACACAGAGACCCAGAGACTCACACAGAGAGACCCAGATACTCACACAGATGCTCAGAGAATCGCACAGAGAGATCCACAGTCTCACACAGAGACCCAGAGACTCGCACAGAGACCAAGAGAATCGCACAGAGACCCACAGTCTCACACAGAGACCCAGAGTCGCACAGATACCCTAGAGACTCGCACAGAGACCCAGAGACTCGTACAGAGACCTAGAGACTCACCCAAAGACCCCCAGAATCACAGAGAGACCCAAAAATTAACGTAATTATTTGAACTTGTAACACACAGCAAAGACGGTGGTCACCGCATGGCGCGGCGCTTACAGATGCACTTCTGCGGCCGTCTGGAAGGTTCTTCCTTCCAATGTTAGGAAGCCACTGGGAGCTATGCACTTTAAAATCTTGTAGATTGAAAATGCATTTCTTTAGAACTGCTTTTAGTGTTTAGTTTGTTGTCCTTCCCCCGCACCTCCGATCAGCATGGTTGGCTACGTGCGGTACGAAAGAAGTTCAACTTACAGTCCAACTGACATTAATTATCCGTGGATCCGCTCGTGTGCGTGTGTGTTTCAGATTTACAAAAACAAAAAGGATCGTGAATATGTTGATGCTCAGGATGAATCTAAATCAAACTGGATGAGGTGATTATTGTCTGAAGGACCACTACACAGAGACCAGAACCACTACACACAGAGACCAGAACCACCACACACAGAGACCAGAACCACCACACACAGAGACCAGAACCACTACACACAGAGACCAGAACCACTACACACAGAGACCAGAACCACTACACACAGAGACCAGAACCACTACACACAGAGACAAGAACCACTTCACACAGAGACCAGAACCACTACACACAGAGACCAGAACCACTACACACAGAAACCAGAACCACTACACACAGAGACCAGAACCACCACACACAGAGACAAGAACCAGCACACACAGACCAGAACCACTACACACAGAGACCAGAAACACCACACACAGAGACCAGAACCACTACACACAGAGACCAGAACCAGCACACACAGAGACCAGAACCACTACACACAGAGACAAGAACCAGCACACACAGAGACCAGAACCACTACACACAGAGACCAGAACCACCACACACAGAGACCAGAACCACCACACACAGAAACCAGAACCACCACACACAGAGACAAGAACCACCACACACAGAGACCAGAACCACTACACATAGAGACCAGAACCACCACACACAGAGACAAGAACCACTACACACAGAGACCAGACCCACTACACACAGAGACCAACCCTGGGCCTCCCCTTGGTCGACTCGGCATCAAATGAGCACCCGGTACGGAGCGTGGTTCCAGCCACACCACCCCCACGTAGCGCCCAGTGCCGGCCCTTAATAGGCGCTCGCTAACGGCGCCCACCCCGCCCCCGCGTCTGCCCGCGCAGGTTCGTCAACTGCGCGAGGAATGAGCAGGAGCAGAACCTGGTGGCCTTCCAGCACCGGGGGCAGATTTACTACCGCACATTCCGTGCCGTGGGGCCCGGCTCTGAGCTGCTGGTCTGGTACGGCGAGGAGTTCGCCCAGGAGCTGGGCATCGCCTGCGAGGCCGGGCCCTCGCGACGCCGCAGCAGCAGCAGCAGCGAGATGGCTCCTAGGGCCACCGCCAGAGACCTGCAGCCCGTGCAGCCTCCACCAAGCGAGGAACACCGTGAGCACTGCTCACCAGAGACTCACCACTGCTCACCAGACTATAGCCACCACTCACCAGAGATGATAGCCACCACTCACGAGAGACGATAGCCACCACTCACCAGAGATGATAGCCACCACTCACCAGAGATGATAGCCACCACGCACCAGAAATGATAGCCACCACTCACCAGAGATGGCAGCCACCACTTACGAGAGACGATAGCCACTACTCACCAGAGACGATAGCCACCACTCAGTAGAGATGATAGCTACCATTCACCAGAGATGATAGCGACATCTCACCAGAGATGTGGATGTAGCTACCACTCACCAGAGATGATAGCCACCACTCACTAGAGATGATAGCCACCACTCACCAGAGATGATAGCCACATCTCACCAGAGTTGGTAGCCACCACTCACCAGAGATGACAGCCACCACTCACCAGAGATGATAGGCACCAGCCACACTGATAAGGTGGAAGTGAGTAACTGGTGTGGTGTGTAGTAGTAAACATCGCCACTGGGGAGACAAAGGCGGCTATGTGTGGTGCTGGCCACCCTCCCACTCGTGTGCCGTGTTGGCTTTCATTGGTGCCCATAACAGCACTTGTCCCAAAAGTATATACAGGCTATATGGGGGTTCTTTGTCTTTGTGTGTATATATAATGGAGCCCACTGCACTACGAACCCGGCCACCTGAGTTCGATTCCCACTCACGGCCAACGTCAGTGGTGAATATTTAGGCCTCCCCTAGGCTGACTCAGCCTCAAATGAGTACCTAGCTTAAACGTGGAAACATCGCCACTGGAGAGACAAAGGCGGCCGGGCCTGGTGTTGGCCACCTACTCCCTCGTGTGCCATGCCGGCCTTCATAGGTACTCGCAAACAGCACTTGCCCAACAGTCTGATATGGCTGTGGGAAACCTTTACCTTTGTGTATACACACACGTGTGCAAGAGTGTTCATGTCTAGATGTTGGTGTGTGCGCGTGTGTCTTGTTCCTCTGGGATGACGCAGGTGGAGTGGGTGTGGAGGTCACAAGGCTGCCGTGTCCTGCCTGCAACCGTCAGTTCATCTGCCGCTCGAGTCTACAGTATCACGTGCAGAGCAGACACCCCACTAAGCCCAGTAACAAAAGTCATCAGTGTGACCAATGTCCATACAGCACAGACTACAAGAGTACCTTGAAGAAGCACCAGAGAACACACACGGGAGAGAAGCCGTTCAAGTGCACCGTGTGTGAGAAGGCGTTTGCACGGCTATCACATCTTCACAGCCACCAGAGAACACACACGGGAGAGAAGCCGTTCAAGTGCACCGTGTGTGAGAAGGCATTTGCACATTTACAACATCTTCACAGCCACCAGAGAACACACACGGGAGAGAAGCCGTTCAAGTGCACCGTGTGTGAGAAGGCATTTGCACATTTACAACATCTTCACAGCCACCAGAGAACACACACGGGAGAGAAGCCGTTCAAGTGCACTGTGTGTGAGAAGGCGTTTGCACAGCTATCAGATCTTCACAGGCACCAGAGAACACACACGGGAGAAAAGCCGTTCAAGTGCACCGTGTGTGAGAAGGTGTTTGCAGACCCATCCAGTCTTTGCCGGCACCAGAGAACACACACCGGCCAGAATGCATTTTCTCATTCCCGTGGAAACAGAAAAGTCAGCCATCCTGAGCAAAACGCGCACAGCGCCGAGCTGTGAATTAGTTTTAAACAACAGGCCACGTGACTAGCCGAGGCTGTGCCACTCTTGAAACTGATTTTGAATGTGAACACGGAAACCTACGGACCCTCCTACACCTGCCTCACACTCTGTGGGGGGTGGGAGATTAAACCGACCTGGCCACCCCTCGATTGCAAGTGCGGAGTTCTAGGTCCCAACCACTGCACGTGTCCCCCCCCACCCCCATCACCTGGGGGTCCCTGTGTGTGTGAGTGTGCAGAGTCCCCCGTGCAGAGCTGCACTGTTGTTACCCTAGAGGGGGACACCGCAGGGCGATCCACCTACAGATACCCCAGTCTGCACGTCTCCCGCCGGTCTCCATGCGCACCGCGTGCCGTCTCGTAGCCCTGCCCCGTGCGACGTACGTACAGTACGTACAGTACGTACCCATCCAGCGGTAGACTGAACCGCGGCCGATGACGAAGGTGGCATCCGCTCACAAATCTCCGTGCACTCAGTCCCGTAGCCCTGAGCCATCGCTTGCGCGATATTCACTTTGCCGCTGAGAGGAAAGCTACGGGGAGGAGGTGGGGGGGGGTGTTAGGAGAGGACATCTGTGGAACGGCTGGAGATCTGCGAAGAAGAGCTTCATAGCTCATCGGATTCCTGCGGTCTGAAAAAATATTCCGAGAGGGCGTTGGGGGAGGGGGGTGTAGGTATGATTGGGGCATCTGCACTTGGATCACCCTGCGTGTTGTTGCTGCCTCCCCCGTTGAAAATGTTCCCAGCGTGAACTTAACCCTTTGCCGTCGCGACGACGCCGCGCGCCGTGCGTGAACGTCGTCGTCGGAATAACAAAACGCAGTAAAAACTAAAGCAACATTATCGGTACCGAGGCTCCCACAGGGCCACGCGGGGCAGGGAGTGTGGCACAGTTTTCGCGCCGGCTAGCGCAGAGTGGCGGCGGTCGTGTCGCTACGCTTCTCTGCGGTGAGCAACGACGTCTTTATAACAACAACAGCAGTGCTGCTGCTGCTGCTGCCACTGCTGCGGTGAACGGTGACAGCCACCCCGTGACCTGACCCCCACCCCGTGAACGGTGACACCCACCCCGTGAACGGTGACACCCACCCCGTGAACGGTGACACCCCATGGGTGGAAAAAACCCGATTTTTCCAGCTGCAGGCATCGGGTTTTTTCTTTAACACAATTAAACCCGATTTCGGGGAATTAAAACCTGGTTTAATGAATACGAAACTCTGATAGGCTTAGGCTGCTTCCTCGTCGGTGCTGCTATGGTACTCGGGGCCGTCGGGCACGGGGTAGTCGTAGAATGCGGCGGGCAGGTTGGTCTTAATGAACACGAGCTTCTCCACAATCGTGGGCGCCAGTGAGTTCCTTAGCTTGGAATGGATGAAGCCCATCGTTGAGAAGTGCGGTTCTGCAATTAGAACCAATGAAACCGGATTTCTCTCAATCTTAGATGATCGGGTTTAATATAAAAAGACAATTAAACCCGATTGTAAAAAACCCGACTGTGCCACCCTTGTGACACCCACCCTGTGAACGGTGACACCCACCCCGTGAACGGTGACACCCACCGACCCTGCAACTCTGCAGACGTCTCGGACGCGGGAAAGGGTTGAGAGATTTTCTGCGTCCCGGTTGCTCGCGTGATGTCGCACGGTGGTGGCGCGCGTTGACTCTTGCACGTTTAAGAAAGTTGAGCGTTAGTTTGTGATTCTGTTTAAAATGATATATATACATAAACTAACAAACATTATCTTGGGATTCTACCAAGTAAGGTCCAACTGGATACGTAGTAGCTCTTTTATCAGACGCGACCACCTGGCCATCACAAATGAAAGCTCAACGAAGTGGCTTATCATTGTGTGGACATTTATAGCGGCCAAATACTCTGATTGCGTGATCTCGATTCTAAATGTCGAGGGAAAACCGGAGGACCTGGAGAAAATCCACACGACCACGGGGAGAGAGAGAGAGAGACGCGCAAACTCAAAATATACAGCAGGCGTCAGGGTCGGAATCAAACACACGATCTCCTGTATACCAGGAGAGGTAGTTAACATCTCCACATGTGTTCAGAGTATTTGGCTGCTGTAAATGTCACGTGATAAGCCACTTCGGTGCGCTGCTGTCATTTGTGATAGCCAGGTCGCTACTACACAGCTCAGTGGGGGCCTTACCTGGAAAAGTAAAATGATTAATAAAAATCTACTGTATTCTTGGTTCTTTTGGTAAAGTCACGTAGAAGGGAAATAATAAAATAATAAAAATGTAAGAATCAAATTAACACGACGTTTCGATTGCAACACAAGCAATCATCAGTTTATGAAAACCCACAACAACAAAAACAATATTGCTGTGGTTTTCACACCTGATGATGATTGCTTGCGTTGCAATCGAAACGTCGTGAGAATTGTATAGTTTTATTTTTATCATTTTATTATTTTCCTTCTACGTGACTTTACCGAAAGAACCAAGAATATGAATCCCTGTAGTCACGAAATCTTCAAATCGAAAAAAAAATCTCTTCTTGGTTCTTTCGGTAAAGGCACGTAGAAGGGAAGTAATAAAATAATAAGAATAAAACATAATAAAATAATATGATATAATAAAATAATATAATAATATAACATATTATTATATAAGTCACTTATAAGGCAAGTAATAAAATAATAAAAATAAAACAATAATTTAATATAATAAAATATTTTATTATATTTTGTTTCATTATCTTTTATTTTTATTATTTTATTACTTCCCTTCTACGTGACTCTACCGAAAGAACCAACAATATGAATCCCTGCAGTCACGAAAGCTTCAAATCGAAAAACAAAAATCTCCTGTTGAGAATGACCTCACCGGACCGGTGGAGGCAGCGCTGCCGTCTTGGTCCCAATTGGCAGCGGCGGCGTCTCGTTGGTTGTGAAGGCGGCCCAGCTCACACAGCCCGTGCCGGTGCAACAGGCCGTAGTCTACCCGGGGTTCAAGCGGCCTAGGCTACATTGTACCCGGGTGTATCATGGCCGAGGCCAAATTATACCCCTCTAGGCCAAATCATACCCCCATGATAGTAATAGTGTTGAGCGATATCTTCTTGTTTAGTGCTGCCTAACGGCGTGTGCGACTTCACGATGATATTGGTCCCGGTCTAGCACGGCGTGTAGAGTTTGTGCTGTTGTTAATTGTAGCCATGTTTTGATGTTACTGAGCCATGTCGTTTTTGGCCGTCCTGGTCGTTTTTTCCCTTCGATTTTTCCTTCCAGGATTTGCTTTAATAGCTGGTATTTGTGATATACACATGAATTACTAAATTTTTCCAACATTTTATTTAAAACTGTAAACACATAGACTTTGATTACTTCAACCAGAAAAACTGATAATAACCCTAAAAATGCTTCAATTGATCAAATTGAGATTCTTACTTCCATTTATACGCTTTTTAGATATCGATTGAAGTCCGTTGTCGGCTGTTCTCTGTATGGATAATTGCCTTTGAACTTTCACATGGGGCATGTTCTGCCCTGGAGGGGGGGTATGGTCTGGACCAGTCTAGTTTAAACCCCCGGGTATAGTTTAGCCTAGGACACTTTATCCCCCGGGTCTACTCTGGCCTGGGCCAAACTATATCCGGGTTTAATCGGGGCAGGGGTTATTTTTAAATCCTTTATATTAAGTTCACTTGCTTGCTTGCTTGCGCGCTCACGACCGTGCAAATCTTTCAGTCGTTTTTTAACCGACTTCCCGTGATCCAATCGAGCTGACATTTTGCACACAGACTCGTTGTGCGTGACAATTTATTTTCGTGAAAAAATTTTACCAAAATTTTACACTTTTTAGGAAAAAAAAAATTGTATTTAATTACCAATTGCTTAATGGTGGCAGGCAACCATCTGAGCCATAGGTGGCAGCCATCTCAAGCCAGAGGACGAGAGGACTCTAGCCGCCACGCATATAAAGGATTTATAGTGAAAAACTTTGTTTTTACGGGTTAATTTTTAGCCTGTTTCACCGGTATCTCCAGGAGGTCGGAGCGACTTGCTCTGCGGTAACACTTTTCCGTGACAGAGGTTTGGTTTTTGTTGTTGTTGTTGTTGGGTTAGAGATCTCGTAAATATCAACATTGTGTCGTTAACCCACCACCACCCACCACCATCGCCTGACACGGCCAATCAGTCAGGGTTTGTCACGTAAACGAAACGTGCCAATTGGTTACCAACTTCAGCACACACAGCGCTTGTGTGTCGGGGAGAGTGAACCCACAACAGCATTTACAATTCGAGTGCCGGTGACGTTTCGCCGGTGATTACAAACAACGGCGACCGGTTTCATCGGGCGATGTGCCAGGATTGTGATCCAACGCCATCTAACCCAGGAGCAGCAGCAGCGACGACAACAAAAACCTTCATCACAGACACCGCTGGTCGCAAGAGACTGCGCGTGGCGCTTTGTGTTGCCGTTGCCACGAATCGTCGAAGCGCGTTCACGATCTGTTGTTCTCCTGTAACGCGGTGGTCATTTCGATTTAAATCTTCTTTCGTGACTGCAGGGATTCATCTTCTTGGTTCTTTCGGTAAAGTCACGTAGAATGGAAATAATATAATAATAAAAATAAAACAATAAAGTAATTGTTTTATTTGTATTGTTTTATTATTTAATAATAAAATTATAAAAATAAACATTTACTTTATTATGTTATATTTTTATGGAAATAATAAAAATAATAAAAATAAAACAAGAAAGTAATTGTTTTATTTTTATTATTTTATTATTTAATAATAGAATAATAAAAATAAACATTTACTTTATTATTTTTTATTTTTATGGAAATAATAAATAATAAAATTTAAACAATAAAGTCATTGTTTTATAATTATTATTTTTATTTAATAATAAAATAATAAAAATAAACATTTTCTTTATCATGTTTTATTTTATTTATTTTATTATTTCCATTCTACGTGACTTTACCGAAAGAACCAAGAAGATGTGGTGGTCATTGTTGCGTTCCTGAAGAACACCGCGTTGTGGAGAAATAATATAAACTATAGGGGGTGAAGCGTGGTCCGCGACAACACGCGAGATGATGGGTGAGACAGAGGCCGGACTACGACTGAGGCGCGTGGGTAGCGTCTAGAAGCAGCATCCAGCAGCATCCCAATGCCTCCTCGCGTGATGCCGCTACGCCGAGGCAGCCGCACGGAGAACCGCTTGTTCCTACTCGCGTTGCGACCTCGTTCCGTTCGCTCGCTCGCGTTGCATCCAATCCGCATCCGCGTCACAAACAGCGTGTTCCCCTACACATCATTCATGGCGTTTTATCATCCAATCGGCGTTGTTCAAACTAACACGCGGCGTTGTAGGAGAACCAGACTGTGCCGTTGTCTTCTGCTGTTTAACGCAGAGGCCGCATCGACCGTTCCAATAGTCGCTGTAGCCACTGCGAGCCCCAAGCTGTCGGCTCCCGGCTCTTAAACTCCCCCCCCCCCCCCCTGGCGTTATCTGTAGTCGTTACACACAGCAGCACCTGGTCACAGCTGCTCACTGCTAATCCTAACAACACCAATCCCAGTCGTCATCCCTGCACCTCAAGGATGGTAAAACTATGACCCAACAAAATTACACATCACACTGTCCTACAGACTTCAATTCACACGCCCCTACAGATGTGTTTTGGTCATGTGCCTACCATTCCTCTATTCTGCACTGCTACGGTGTTTATTGTGTTGTGTTTGTTGTTGTGGCGTTCTGACCACGTGCCCCGACTGGACACCTGTGGACAATAAAGAGCTTCACAGCTCATCGGATTCCTCCAGAATAAAAATTTAAACTTTAAAAACTCTGATGACGTCACTGCGTGGTGACGTCACGCGTCTAGCCCCCTCCACTCCCCCGTTACCCCCCACCCCTCCCACCCTCCATTCCCCCCTCCCGCCACTCACCAACCGCCATTCCGCCCCCTCCTCCCCCCACCCCCCACCCCCCCCCACTCCCCCCCACCACCACCAACCGCCGCCATTGGCCACTGAGTGACGGTGACGTCACCACGGCGCCTGTGCCAGGCTGGGTGCACTTCGAGGCTGCCGCGTGAAGTGTCGACGGCTCGACACTGAGGTGGTGACGTCACGCGAGCGTTGTGTTTAACGATTTAACGATATTAGCGTAAAGATATGAGCATTAGCTCAAGTGATGTGAATACGTTCGGATTACCTCAAGTAATGTTACATTTACCTGAGGTAATTTTACCTCGCATAAGGTAAAGTTACCTCATTTGAGATAATGTTACCTTACCTGACGTAATTTTACCTTTGCCTGAGGTAATGTTACCTCGACCTAACGTTATATTACATCGCTTGAGGTAAAGTTACCTCACGTGAGGTAAAGTTACCTCGCCTTCCATTGAATTCCGATTATGTAACCCTGAGGTAATAATCGCGCGATAATTGTGTTTAATGATTTAACTACGTGAGAATATTACGATATGGGCATTAGCTGAAGTGATGTGAATACGTTCGGATTACCTCAAGTAATGTTACATTTACCTGAGGTAATGTTACCTCTATGTGAGGTAAAGTTACCTCACTTAAGGTCAAGTTACCTCGCCTGAGGTAAAGTTAACTAACCTGGGGTAATGTTGCCTCTACCTGAGGTGAAGTTTCCTCACCTGAAGTAATTTTACTTCGCCTAAGATAAAGTTACCTCGCATGAGGTACAAGTTACCTCATTTGAGGTAAAGTTACCTCATTTTGAGGTGAAAGTTACCTCACCTGAGGTAATGTTATCTCGACCTGAGGTTACTAAGGGCACCAGGGGTGACAGCCCATCCCCACCCCCACCCAGCCCCCCCACTCAGCCCCACCCAGCCCCTCCCCACCCCCCACCCAGCCCCTCCCTCCCCACCCCCCACCCCAGCCCCCCCCCACTCAGCCCCACCCAGCCCCTCCCCACCCCCCACCCAGCCCCTCCTCCCCACCCCCCACCCAGCCCACCCATCCCCACCCCCCACCCAGCCCCCACCCTCCCTAGCCCAGCCCCTCCCTCCCCACCCAGCCCCACCCTCCCCACCCAGCCACTCCCTCCCCACCCAGCCCCACCCTCCCCACCCAGCCCCTCCCTCCCCACCACAAACCCCTCCCCCCACCCAGCCCACCCCTCCCCACCCAGCCCCTCCCTCACCACCCAGCCCCACCCCACCCAGCCCCACCCTCCCCACCCAGCCCCACCCTCCCCACCCCAGCCCCTCCCCTCCCCAACCATCCCCACCCTCCCCACCCAGCCCCTCCCTCCCCACCCAGCCCCTCCCTCCCCACCCAGCCCCTCCCTACACGACGGACGGACGGACACAATAATCCCCTGTGGGCTGGTGTAACCAGGAGGTTCCTACCAGTAGTCAAGTGAGGATTCTATCTCACGCGAATTTTAAATCGTGTAAGATTTACGCTACGAGACGACTTCACGTTACGATTACAGCTACACATCTCGTACAGTGTTGACACGAGCGACTAATTAATTGTACAAGATTTACTTTGCACTGAATGAGAATGTCGCGGTGAAGATTACCTTATAATATAACGTGATTTGATACGGATTGCATCACATTCTGATTACCTTACCCTCAGTGCCGGATAAAGTTAGTTCGGGGCCTGTAGCATGTGCTAGAAAGGGGCCCAATAATTTTTTTTAAAACGTAAACATTAAAACACATTTTTTACTTGCACAGTAAAGTATTTGTATTTTTTCATTTGCTATACAGCCGGATAATACGACTAATCGCTAACCTTAAACACCCAGTCGTTCATAAAAAAAAAAGTTGAAGTCTGTATAGTACTATAGTAATAGAGCAAGTGCAGAATCAATTAACCCGAATTGATATCTTGAAAGCATTTAGCGCGGGGCCCTTGAAAGTGCGGGGCCCGTAGCATTTGTAGCAACTTTTGCGACTCCGATAATAAACCCCCCCCACTCCCCCCACCCCATCACCCCCCCCCACTCCCCTCCCACCACCGCCAATCGCCGCCATTGGCCACTCAGTGACGGTGACGTCACCACGGCGCCTGTGCCAGGCTGGGTGCACTTCGAGGCTGCCGCGTGAAGTGTCGACGGCTCGACACTGAGGTGGTGACGTCACGCGAGCGTTGTGTTTAACGATTTAACCACGTGACGATATTACGATATTAGCGTAAAAATATGAACATTAGCTGAAGTGATGTGAACACGTTCGGATTACCTCAAGTAATGTTACATTTACCTGAGGTGATGTTACCTCATCTGAGGTGATGTTACCTCAGGTGAGGTAATGTTACCTTAGCTGACGTAATTTTACCTCTGCCTGAGGTAATGTTACCTCGACCTAACGTTATATTACATCGCTTGAGGTAGAGTTACCTCGCCTTCCGACAGTCTGTTAAGGCCACACGGGGGATCTTAGTCCCGTATCCCTGTGACTCTGTCTCCCTGTGACTCTGTCTCCATGTGACTCCATCTCCGTGACTGCATCTGACCGTCGTCCGCGTCTCGTCCCTCCGTGTCTCTGCGCCTCAGCAGCAGCAGCAGGAGATGGGCGACTTCCGAGACATCAGAGGCTTCTTCACCAAGGCCGAGTGGAGCGATCTGGCCGAGTGCGAGAAGCGGCGCTACAGGAACATCAAGCAGAACCACGCCGTCCTGCTGAACCTCGGTGGGTACGGCAGGCCGAGCCTCTTCGCAACTCAACTAATTGTCGCAGTGATTATAATGATGAGACCAAGACGTCGTAGCAGAGTGGCATGCATGGGGCGCCATGGTGGCGAGATGTTAACTACCTCGCCTGGTCTACAGGAGGTCGTGGGTTCGATGGCGACCCTGACGATGCCTGTCATATATCTGGAGTCTGCGTGTGTCTCTCCCCGGTGAGATGTTAACTACCTCTCATGGTCTACAGGAGGTCGTGGGTTAGATCCCGGTCCTCCGGGTTTTTGCTCCACTTGTAGAATCAACATCACGCGTTTAGAGTATTTGTCTGCTGCTATACATGTCCACGTGGTAAGCCACTTGGTTGAGCTGTCATTTGTGGCAGCCAGGTCGCTTCTGAAGAAGGAGCCAATAGCTCAGTGGACTTCACCTGGTGAAGTAAAAATAGATTTAGTTTTAGTTTAATGATTTGTTTACCTTTACTCTACTTTGCACGCCTATCGTGTTTGTGTTTTGTGTTGTAACTTTCTGACCCCGTGCCCCCTATGGGACATCTATGAAAAAGAGCTTCATAGCTCATCGGATTCATAATTCTAGTCACGTAGGTAAAAAATAAAATTAAAATTAATCAAAGTAAAATTAAAATTTATAAAAGTACTTTTATTAATTTAAATTTTATTTTTTACCTACGGATTCATAATGTTGGAGAGTAAACCCACAACATTTACAAAAATAGTTTATTTTGACTTAAAACTTTCGTGACTGCAGGAATTCATATTCTTTGGTTCTTTCGATAAAGTGACGTAGATAGAAAAACTAAAATAAAAATAAAGTGAATAATAAAAATGATAAAGCACTCATGTATAATCAAAACTTTTGAGTTATAAATTAGTCTTCTTGGTTCTTTCGGTAAAGTCACATAGAAGGGAAAAAAACATAAAATACAATTATTAAAATACAATTTTAATGTTTTCTTTTTAATATTTTATTATTTCCCTTCTACGTGACTTTACCGAAAGAACCAAGAAGATGAATCCCTGCAGTCACGAAAGCTTTAAATTGAAATGTATACATTAGTGTTTTTTTTATGGAGCAGTCTAATTAGTGTCTTATTTTTATAATTTTTTATTCACTTAATTTGTATCATTTGAACTGCCTCTATTGGGAGGGTTTCCACATAACCATGAGATCTTTTAACAATCTCCGTGACAAGAAAGTTCATCTGATCGAGTCACTCACATTTCTGAAGAGATGCCGTGACTCTAACGTAATACCGATCTCATTGACACTGATTTCTGCTGCAGTCACATCTTCCAATGCCAGACGAATTTTGTTCAGGGCGAGCTTGGCCCTGATCTCAGAGAGAATTAGACTGCTCCATACTGAACTAGATCATGTAGACAAGACACTCTTGAAATCACACTTAACATTGACGGGAAAAATGTCGACATCTGATTGGGAACATGTAGATAACATGACCGCTTAATCAGCCACTACAATGTCAGCGAAATGTAAAGATCTGATTTTCGAGTTCAACCTCCTTTCTAACAAGAAACCAGATCCACACGTTAAAAGGTTAGACGTTGACAAGGTTGTTATTAATCTGAGTAATAGCCCAATGTGCGATGGTCTAAAGTCGGTTTTGGCTAAAGGGTTGAACTTCTCAGTCACCCCCAAACACATTCCAGTGGATGACGTTATTGCCCAGGTCGATGTCGCTCTTAAGGGTTTGGGGCGCATCGCTGCAGACGTTACAAGATCTGAAATTGCTGCAACCCTCAAAAGCGCTAAGATACCAGTCAGCAACATCAGTGAGGATGAACGTTTTTGTGGTTTTTGATTATTTTTATTCACTTTATTTTTCTATCTACGTGACTTTGCCGAAAGAACCAAAGAATATTTACAAAAAAATGTATTTTGTGTGTGTGTAATTTGTTTACCTTTTCTATACTTTGCACTCCTATCGTGTTTACTGTATTGCTTGGAGTTATTGTAGCAGCCAAATAATATAAATGAACGTAGTAGCGGTACACCGTTGCGCTGTATGAAATAATCATCACATTTTTGGCAAAAGTTATTTATTTCCTCGCGATTCGAGACCCCAGACAGAAGGATATTTTGGGGTGGTGGTGGTGCGTCAAAATCAGTTGTCGTGATGCCAAAGCGGTGGGAAGACGGAACGTGACATGAGCAGCACTGAACACGAAGCTTCGCAGTCTGTTGCCGTACAGCGGCGCCCAGTCTGATGACGATCGGCTGCTCCGTGCTCCAGTGGCAAGATTGGACTCCTCGTGCCCCTAGAGACTCGGTCGGACGGTGCCTCGATACGACTCGTGGTGTCGCCACCGCACGTTCGGAATGGGGGACGCGGCTGCTGAATCTGAGTGCAACTTCTGATGGAGAGTCCTGCAGCTCACTCAAGGGGCAACGGCGACATCGTCGGGACTATGAAAAATAAGAATCGGTTTTACTCTTTATGGGAATGAAACAGGAGGTGTTAAGATGTTCAAACACCAGATAGATTATAGCTTTTGCAAGGAATCAGGTTACTGCATTAACCACGCGTACTGACACGCAAACAAACACTCTCTGATAACATTTAATCATTGTCTTTGATACTGATTGGTCTACCCCAGAGACAGCCTTCTTCATGGCCTAGTCTCACCAGTGTCAGACCAGAGAACAACACCAAAAGGCGACCAGTACAAAGACAATGCAGTGTCAAGAGCATTTATAGCTCGGGGTGAGTAGCTATATCATTGGACCTTTTTGCCAGAATCAAAGTATAAAAAATAGGAATCGGTTTTACCCTTTCTGGCAATAAAACAGGAGCTGTTAAGATGTTCACACACCAAATAGATGATTCCTTTTTGCAAGGAATCAAGTTACTGCATTAACCACGCGTACTTGTGTTGAACACGCAAACAAACACGCTCTGATAGTAATCACATCGTCAGGACTGTGTTACGAGGACCCGGTGTGTTGCTATGCTGCACGGGTGTACTGCCAATACGTACAAATAACAATGACCGACTGCCTCCTTGCGCAGGGATGAACCCGGCCCAGCCCGAGTTCATGCGCGCACGCGGCAAGCGCAGGGCGAGGGGGAATAGAGCGGAGTGCGGGCGGTCGAGCGACTCCGACGAGGAGTGGACGGGGAGGAGGAAGAGGAAGGAGGTGGCGATGCACGGAGGACGAAGAGGCAAACGTAAAAGGGCGCTTGCAGACCGTGCAGAGACCCCCTGTAGACTCACACAGAGACCCCCTGTAGACTCACACAGAGACCCCTGTAGACTCACACAGAGGCCCCCTGTATACTCACGCAGAAACCCCCTGAAGACTCACAAAGAGACCCTGTGTAGAATCACACAGAGACCCCTGTAGACTCACACAGAGACCCCTGTAGACTCACACAGAGACCCCCTCTCGACTCACGCAGAGACCCCCTGTAGACTCACACAGAGACCCCCTGTAGACTCACGCAGAGACCCCCTGTAGACTCACGCAGAGACCCCCTGTAGACTCACGCAGAGACCCCTATAGACTCACACAGATACCCCCTGTAGACTAACACAGAGACCCCCTGTAGACTCACACAGAGACCCTCTGTAGACTCACGCAGAGACCCCCTGTAGACTCACGCAGAGACCCCCTGTAGACTCACACAGAGACCCCCTGTAGACTCCCACAGAGACCCCCTGTAGACTCACGCAGAGACCCCCTGTAGACTCACACAGAGACCCCCTGTAGACTCACACAGAGACCCCTGTAGACTCACACAGAAACCCCCTGTAGACTCACACAGAGACCCCCTGTAGACTCACGCAGAGACCCCTGTAGACTCACACAGAAACCCCCTGTAGACTCACGCAGAGACCCCCTGTAGACTCACACAGAGACCCCTGTAGACTCACGCAGAGACCCCTGTAGACTCACACAGAGACCCCTGTAGACTTACGCAGAGACCCCCTGTAGACTCATGCAGAGATCCCCTGTAGACTCACGCAGAGACCCCCTGTAGACTCACACAGAGACCCCCTGTAGACTCACACAGAGACCCCCTGTAGACTCACGCAGAGACCCCTGTAGACTCACACAGAGACCCCCTGTAGACTCACATAGACCCCTGTAGACTCACACAGAGACCCCCTGTAGACTCACACAGAGACCCCCTGTAGACTCACACAGAAACCCCCTGTAGACTCACACAGAGACCCCTGTAGACTCACGCAGAGACCCCTGTAGACTCACACAGAAACCCCCTGTAGACTCACACAGAGACCCCCTGAAGACTCACACAAAGACCCCTGTAGACTCACACAGAGACCCCTGTAGACTCACAGAGACCCCCTGTAGACTCACGCAGAGACCCCTGTAGACTCACACAGAGACCCCCTGTAGACTCACGCAGAGACCCCTGTAGACTCGCTTGATGAAGCTGGTTGTAATCACCAGCGGAACCAAGTTAAATGCCCGCTCACGGCCAACACCAGTGACGACGATCCGAACTGGTCCTGAGCCTCCCCTAGGTTGACTCAGCGTCAAAATGAGTACCCGGTGCAGTGGTGTGTAGTAAACATCACAACTGGGGAGACAAAGACGGTCGGGCGTGTTGCTAGCTGCCCATCCCCCCGTGTGCCGTGCTGGCCTTCGTAGATGCTGCTTGCTGACAGCACTTGACCGCAACAGTCTGTGAAGGCTACACGGGGCATCTTTTTAATTGTGGACCGAGTTGGCACAGTCGCGGGCACAGGTGGTGCATCTGGCAGTCATCTCAGTAAACCTATGGCACCTGCAGGGTCCGTCTCGTGACCTGCACCTAGCCTGGCACAACAGTCAACCCATGGCATGGCACCTGGTTCTGTCCTGTGACAACAGTCTGTTAAGGCGGCACAGGGGAGATCATTGACTTTTTGGTAAATATGTGAGTGAGTAAATGTTTGCATGCGTAAATACGCGTGTGGGTGTGTTCACACGTGTGTGTGTGTGTTAATGCATTTCCGTGTGTTCACACGTGTGTGCGTGTGTTAACAGCGTGTGCATATGGGGAGCGGTAGTGTAGCGGTTAGCGCGCTGCGCTATGAACCCGGCGACCCGGGTTCGATTCCCGCTCACGGTCAACACCAGTGACGATTATTTGAACCGGTCCTGTGCCTCCCCTATGTCGGCTCAGCCTCAACTGAGTACCTGGTGCGGTGTGTAAACATCACCACTGGGGAGACAAAGACGGTCGGGCGTGGTGCTGGCCACCCACCCCCTCGTGTACCGTTCTGGCCTTCATAGGTGCTCACTAACAGCACTTGCCCCTACAGTCTGTTAAGGCTATACGGGGGAGCTTTGTCCTTGCATATGTTCATGCGTGTCCGTGTGTTCACACGTGTGTTCACGTGTGTGCGTGTGTTCACGTGTGTGCGTGTGTTCACGTGTGTGCGTGTGTTCACGTGTGTGCGTGTGTTCACGCAGGAGGAGGCAAGGGGGCTGCTTCACGCTGGGCCACCGTGGGAGAGTCTCACGCGAGGGCAGCTTCCAGCAAGCGCAAGGTCTCTGTGCACAGCGCACGGCACTCCTCTCGTTACAGCTGCTGCTGCTGTTGTCTTTAGTTTGTTGTCCTTCCCCCGCACCTCCCATTAGCGAGGTTGGCTACGTACGGTGACAAAGACATTCAACGTACATACATACTACTAGACACTGCTATACCAGGGACGTGCGGTCAGGGGAGACGGGCGAGGCAGAGCCTCACCTGTCATATACTCCAATGAAAATAGCTGTTACGAAAAGTACAAAAAAATGTTCCACTGGTCTGTGTTATAAAAGTAATTTCTATATAATTATACCAGAGACGTGCGTCATTATTGTGGTGGTGGTGGTATTGGAACGCGCGCACACCAGCTCCGGTTAACTCCCATTACTTACCTGTGCGGGGCGGTTGTGATATCCCTAGCCGGGGCCCCTCCCGAGGGGAGGGGGCTGTGGGGTGTGGTGTGATCCCACAGAACCCCGCCCCTCAGTGGGGAATCGTATAAAAGGCGAGACTCTGAGAGGAGAGAGTTAGTTCGAACAAGCCAAGGACGAAGAACCAGCTGAAGTCCAGCTAGCTAGACCCTGGGACTCCTCTGACCCGCTGTCCTTCTAAAGGCCGGGCAGAGCAAGCCAGTGGTGCGACCCCAGAGCCGCGTAAGGCTGATGTCCTTGTAAGGGCCGGATTCGTGTGGCTGGTGGTCGGGACCTGTGCCTTGGCTGGGCCAGGTCAGGTAGTCTCCTTGAGAGGAGGGTCGTAGTATTGGTGGGAGTCGGTGAGTTAGCTTGGGGAGTTAGCTCCCTTGAGAGAACGGGTGAAGAGGCCGTTACCTCTTCAAGTGTGAAGCTGTAACGGGCTCAGAGTTAATAAATATGGGTTGCCTCTACTTCAACTGTCTCTGTCGTCACGGTGTCCACTACATTATTATAATTAGTTTATTAATTAGTTGAGTTGTGAAGAGGCATGGCCTGCCATACCCACCGAGGTTCAGCATGACGGCATGGTTCTGCTTGATGTATGGAATCAGATTTACAGATTCAGAATATCAGAATTAAAATATGTATTGTACTGGAGGAATCCGATGAGGTGTCAGGGTCGAGATGGAACCCGCGACCTCCTGCGTACCAGGCGAGGGAGTTAACATCTCCTAGCCACCGCTGGTCACCGCACCAACTCCGCCCCCACACCCCCTCCGCCCCCTCACCCCACCGCCCCCTCCGCTCAGACTAAAGCGGAAGCCCTGGAGTACGTGTGGAGCATCTTGCAGGGCGTGGAGGAGGAGGAGCAGCAGGAGGAGGAGTTCAGGGGATTTGAGCTGAGGGAGGTGCACAAGGCCAGGATGGCGATGTTCAGGCTGGAGCGCAGAGCCACCGCCTGCAAGGAGGCCCTGAGGGTGGCGCTCCAGAGGATACGTGGAGGTGCGTAGCCTGCAGCGGTGATTTCTATTCCCACCGCAACTCCACACTCCCCTCTATTCTCACCGGAACTCCACACTCCCCTCTATTCTCACCAGAACTCCACGCTCCCCTCTATTCTCACCGGAACCCCACACTCCCCTCTATTCTCACCGGAATTCTACACTCCCCTCTATACCCACCAGAACTCCACACTCCCCTCTATTCTCACCAGAACTCCACACTCCCCTCTATTCCCACCGGAACTCCACACTCCCCTCTATTCCCACCGGAACTCCACACTCCCCTCTATTCTCACCGGAACTCCACGCTCCCCTCTATTCTCACCGGAACTCCGCAATCTTCTGTTAGTGCTGATGGAAGTCGCCACTGCTGTTGATGCTACTGCTACATGTGCTCCTGTCAGGGCTGCTGCTGGTACTGATGCAGCCTATGAACTAAACGATGTTTATTTTTCTTATTGGTTCTTTCGGTAAAGTCACGTAGAAGGGAAGTAATAAAATAATAAAAATAAAACATAACAAAACAATTCTCACGACGTTTCGGCCACAACGCAAGCAGCCGTCCTCAGGTGAAAACCAGGTCTGTCGAGGCGACAGCGTCTGAATGATACAGCACACGTGCTTGGAGCATATATATAAGCTGGGTTGGAAGGGGGGAAAAGAGCGCCTTGACAAAAGAATATGCATATCAAGAGGCATTTAGCATATTTATGGGAAATGCAGGTATGTGATTAGTACTACTCATGCCCGTGCATTATGCAGGATTAGCAGCATCAAAGGGAGGGGATATGGGAAATGCAGGTATGTGATTAGTACTACTTATGCCCCTGCATTATGCAGGACTAGCAGCATCAAAGGGAGGGGATATGGGAAATGCAGGTATGTGATTAATACTACTTATGCCCGTGCATTATGCAGGATTAGCAACCAGGGTGTGCCCCACTGAGCTGTGTAGCTGTTTTTCAGAAGCGACTGGCTATCACAAATAAGAGCTCAACGAAGTGACTTGTCATCATCGTCATTACGTGGACATTATAGCAGCCAAATATTCTCAACGCATGACGTTGGTTCTATATGTCGAGGGAAAAAACGAAGGACCCGGAGAAAAATCCACGCAACCACGGGGAGGTATTCGCCATGAAAGTTTGCACAGACAAGGAATTTACTATGGCCGGAAGGTGCATACATTCAACATGTAGGAATCTTAAAACTGAAATGAGTGGTATACAGTCAAACTATACTAAAATTACAAAGTCTAACTAATACTAAGGGGCTAAAGTATGTAAAATTGTGAATAAGTGTACAATATAAAATGTAAACTAGCCATAATATACATCTAAAAATACAAAAATACAAATAGGGTAACATGTTGTAAACTATACAGTCGGGATGGAACCCCACGACCTCCTGTAGACCATGCGAGGGAGTTAACATCTCGCCACGGAGGAGAGAGAGACACGCAGACTCCAAATATACAGCAGGCTTCATCAGGGTCGGGATGGAACCCACGACCTCCCGTATACCACGAGAGGTAGTCAACATCTCGCCGTGTTTGCCTGCAGGCTCCTCCGTGCCGCCGGCCTCCGCCCAGGCTGTGGCGGTGTCGCGCAGCGCTCGCTCTCGCTACGGCCTGCGCCCGCGCGAGAGGAAGTCTACACAGAGGTGGAGGAGCCCCAGGACGACGACTTCTTCTGTGAGGACCCCCTGCTCCCTCTCACTCTCTCTCTCACTTTCTCACTCTCTCTCTCACACTGTCACTTTCTCACACTCTCTCTCTCACTGTCACTTTCTCACACTCTCTCTCTCACTGTCACTTTCTCACACTCTCTCTCACACCGTCACTTTCTCACTCTCTCTCTCTCACTGTCACTTTCTCACACTCTCTCTCACACTGTCACTTTCTCACACTCTCTCTCACACTGTCACTTTCTCACTCTCTCTCTCTCACACTGTCACTTTCTCACACTCTCTCTCACACCGTCACTTTCTCACACCTCTCTCTCACACTGTCACTTTCTCACTCTCCTCTCACACTGTCCCTTTTCTCACACTCTCTCTCACACTGTCACTTTCTCACACTCTCTCTCACACTCCTCTCACACTCTCCTCACACTGTCACTTTCTCACACTCTCTCTCACACTGTCACTTCTCACACTCTCTCTCACACTGTCCACTTCTCACACTCTCTTAGGGCCGTCCATTAATGGCGTCACGCGATTTTGGGACCCCCTCCCCCCCATCACACGAACATCACAAAAAGTCAGACCCCCCCCCTCAAATGTGACGTCACAAAGCTTCATTTAATATGCTTAAATCGCTTCAAACTATTGTCATTGTAGTGCATATTTAATGTGGCACTGCAGTCTGATGTTGTAGGAGAAAACATTTATTAAAAAGTATTAATAAGTAGAACGTGTTGTCTGTGGTTCCTCACACATCGTCACAAATGTCTGACCCCCCCACCCCCCTAGTGCATGAAGTCATTTATGGACGGCCCTTACTCTAACTTTCTCACACTCTCCTCCTATCTCTCTCTATTTGCTCCGCGCTCTCACTCGATATATTCCACCTGCTCCCTCTCATCTCTCTCTCCCTTTCCTCCCTCTCACACGCTCCCTTTCTCGCACTCTCACTTACCTCCCTGTCTTTTGCTCCCTCACTCAGGGATGCAGGGAGGGAGCAGGGAGGGTGACAGGGTTTACATCTCCTATGAGCGAGCTAAGAAGTTCACAATGCAGAGAGGGAGGAAGGAGGCATCTGTCTGGAGCGCTCCTCACCCTCTCACTCTCTCACAGTGCCACTGCTGCTGCTGCTGTTGCTACTGCGGTTCGCCCCTCCTCCTGCTGCTGCTGCTGTGGCTCTCAGTCTGCGAGCTGTGCAGGGATTTCTACCTGGGGGAGTGCTCGTGCACGGCCCGCCAGAGTTCATTGCAGACGCGGCCGTGGCCCCGGGAGTGGCCAACAGGGCCCGGCTCAGCCTGCCCCAGGGCCTCACCGTCGGCGCCCTCCTCCATCGCCGGCGCCGGCCTCGGGGTGTGGAGCAACAGGAAGAAGCTGCCCAAGGGGGTGATTTTTGGGCCCTACCAGGGAGAGGTGTCTGAGGAGAACCCCGTGAGCGAGTACTGCTGGCTGGTGAGCTGCTGCTGCTACTGCTGCAGCCTCCTCCTATTCCTACATCATCATCGTGTGTGTGGAGAGGAGGCTCGTGAAGGAGATGCAGAGAAACCCATAGCCTCACACAGTCACCCACAGACTTACACAGAGATCTAGAGACTGGCACAGAGAGACCCAGAGACTCACAGAGACCCATAGACTCACACAGAGACCCATAGACTCGCACAGAAACCCATAGACTCACACAGAGACCCATAGACTCGCACAGAGACCCATAGACTCGCACAGAGACCTATAGACTCGCACAGAGACCCATAGATTCACACAGAGACCCATAGACTCGCACAGAGACCCATAGCCTCACACAGTCACCCACAGACTCACACAGAGACCCAGAGACTGGCACAGAGAGACCCAGAGACTTTGCACAGAGACCCAGAGACTCGCATAGAGAGACCCACAGACTTGCACAGAGACCTAGAGACTTGAACAGAGACCCAGAGACTCACAGTGGGACACACAGACTCACACAGAGACCCAGAGACTCACACAGAGAGACCCAGATACTCACACAGATGCTCAGAGAATCGCACAGAGAGATCCACAGTCTCACACAGAGACCCAGAGACTCGCACAGAGACCAAGAGAATCGCACAGAGACCCACAGTCTCACACAGAGACCCAGAGTCGCACAGATACCCTAGAGACTCGCACAGAGACCCAGAGACTCGTACAGAGACCTAGAGACTCACCCAAAGACCCCCAGAATCACAGAGAGACCCAAAAATTAACGTAATTATTTGAACTTGTAACACACAGCAAAGACGGTGGTCACCGCATGGCGCGGCGCTTACAGATGCACTTCTGCGGCCGTCTGGAAGGTTCTTCCTTCCAATGTTAGGAAGCCACTGGGAGCTATGCACTTTAAAATCTTGTAGATTGAAAATGCATTTCTTTAGAACTGCTTTTAGTGTTTAGTTTGTTGTCCTTCCCCCGCACCTCCGATCAGCATGGTTGGCTACGTGCGGTACGAAAGAAGTTCAACTTACAGTCCAACTGACATTAATTATCCGTGGATCCGCTCGTGTGCGTGTGTGTTTCAGATTTACAAAAACAAAAAGGATCGTGAATATGTTGATGCTCAGGATGAATCTAAATCAAACTGGATGAGGTGATTATTGTCTGAAGGACCACTACACAGAGACCAGAACCACTACACACAGAGACCAGAACCACCACACACAGAGACCAGAACCACCACACACAGAGACCAGAACCACTACACACAGAGACCAGAACCACTACACACAGAGACCAGAACCACTACACACAGAGACCAGAACCACTACACACAGAGACAAGAACCACTTCACACAGAGACCAGAACCACTACACACAGAGACCAGAACCACTACACACAGAAACCAGAACCACTACACACAGAGACCAGAACCACCACACACAGAGACAAGAACCAGCACACACAGACCAGAACCACTACACACAGAGACCAGAAACACCACACACAGAGACCAGAACCACTACACACAGAGACCAGAACCAGCACACACAGAGACCAGAACCACTACACACAGAGACAAGAACCAGCACACACAGAGACCAGAACCACTACACACAGAGACCAGAACCACCACACACAGAGACCAGAACCACCACACACAGAAACCAGAACCACCACACACAGAGACAAGAACCACCACACACAGAGACCAGAACCACTACACATAGAGACCAGAACCACCACACACAGAGACAAGAACCACTACACACAGAGACCAGACCCACTACACACAGAGACCAACCCTGGGCCTCCCCTTGGTCGACTCGGCATCAAATGAGCACCCGGTACGGAGCGTGGTTCCAGCCACACCACCCCCACGTAGCGCCCAGTGCCGGCCCTTAATAGGCGCTCGCTAACGGCGCCCACCCCGCCCCCGCGTCTGCCCGCGCAGGTTCGTCAACTGCGCGAGGAATGAGCAGGAGCAGAACCTGGTGGCCTTCCAGCACCGGGGGCAGATTTACTACCGCACATTCCGTGCCGTGGGGCCCGGCTCTGAGCTGCTGGTCTGGTACGGCGAGGAGTTCGCCCAGGAGCTGGGCATCGCCTGCGAGGCCGGGCCCTCGCGACGCCGCAGCAGCAGCAGCGAGATGGCTCCTAGGGCCACCGCCAGAGACCTGCAGCCCGTGCAGCCTCCACCAAGCGAGGAACACCGTGAGCACTGCTCACCAGAGACTCACCACTGCTCACCAGACTATAGCCACCACTCACCAGAGATGATAGCCACCACTCACGAGAGACGATAGCCACCACTCACCAGAGATGATAGCCACCACTCACCAGAGATGATAGCCACCACGCACCAGAAATGATAGCCACCACTCACCAGAGATGGCAGCCACCACTTACGAGAGACGATAGCCACTACTCACCAGAGACGATAGCCACCACTCAGTAGAGATGATAGCTACCATTCACCAGAGATGATAGCGACATCTCACCAGAGATGTGGATGTAGCTACCACTCACCAGAGATGATAGCCACCACTCACTAGAGATGATAGCCACCACTCACCAGAGATGATAGCCACATCTCACCAGAGTTGGTAGCCACCACTCACCAGAGATGACAGCCACCACTCACCAGAGATGATAGGCACCAGCCACACTGATAAGGTGGAAGTGAGTAACTGGTGTGGTGTGTAGTAGTAAACATCGCCACTGGGGAGACAAAGGCGGCTATGTGTGGTGCTGGCCACCCTCCCACTCGTGTGCCGTGTTGGCTTTCATTGGTGCCCATAACAGCACTTGTCCCAAAAGTATATACAGGCTATATGGGGGTTCTTTGTCTTTGTGTGTATTATAATGGAGCCCACTGCACTACGAACCCGGCCACCTGAGTTCGATTCCCACTCACGGCCAACGTCAGTGGTGAATATTTAGGCCTCCCCTAGGCTGACTCAGCCTCAAATGAGTACCTAGCTTAAACGTGGAAACATCGCCACTGGAGAGACAAAGGCGGCCGGGCCTGGTGTTGGCCACCTACTCCCTCGTGTGCCATGCCGGCCTTCATAGGTACTCGCAAACAGCACTTGCCCAACAGTCTGATATGGCTGTGGGAAACCTTTACCTTTGTGTATACACACACGTGTGCAAGAGTGTTCATGTCTAGATGTTGGTGTGTGCGCGTGTGTCTTGTTCCTCTGGGATGACGCAGGTGGAGTGGGTGTGGAGGTCACAAGGCTGCCGTGTCCTGCCTGCAACCGTCAGTTCATCTGCCGCTCGAGTCTACAGTATCACGTGCAGAGCAGACACCCCACTAAGCCCAGTAACAAAAGTCATCAGTGTGACCAATGTCCATACAGCACAGACTACAAGAGTACCTTGAAGAAGCACCAGAGAACACACACGGGAGAGAAGCCGTTCAAGTGCACCGTGTGTGAGAAGGCATTTGCACATTTACAACATCTTCACAGCCACCAGAGAACACACACGGGAGAGAAGCCGTTCAAGTGCACCGTGTGTGAGAAGGCATTTGCACATTTACAACATCTTCACAGCCACCAGAGAACACACACGGGAGAGAAGCCGTTCAAGTGCACTGTGTGTGAGAAGGCGTTTGCACAGCTATCAGATCTTCACAGGCACCAGAGAACACACACGGGAGAAAAGCCGTTCAAGTGCACCGTGTGTGAGAAGGTGTTTGCAGACCCATCCAGTCTTTGCCGGCACCAGAGAACACACACCGGCCAGAATGCATTTTCTCATTCCCGTGGAAACAGAAAAGTCAGCCATCCTGAGCAAAACGCGCACAGCGCCGAGCTGTGAATTAGTTTTAAACAACAGGCCACGTGACTAGCCGAGGCTGTGCCACTCTTGAAACTGATTTTGAATGTGAACACGGAAACCTACGGACCCTCCTACACCTGCCTCACACTCTGTGGGGGGTGGGAGATTAAACCGACCTGGCCACCCCTCGATTGCAAGTGCGGAGTTCTAGGTCCCAACCACTGCACGTGTCCCCCCCCACCCCCATCACCTGGGGGTCCCTGTGTGTGTGAGTGTGCAGAGTCCCCCGTGCAGAGCTGCACTGTTGTTACCCTAGAGGGGGACACCGCAGGGCGATCCACCTACAGATACCCCAGTCTGCACGTCTCCCGCCGGTCTCCATGCGCACCGCGTGCCGTCTCGTAGCCCTGCCCCGTGCGACGTACGTACAGTACGTACAGTACGTACCCATCCAGCGGTAGACTGAACCGCGGCCGATGACGAAGGTGGCATCCGCTCACAAATCTCCGTGCACTCAGTCCCGTAGCCCTGAGCCATCGCTTGCGCGATATTCACTTTGCCGCTGAGAGGAAAGCTACGGGGAGGAGGTGGGGGGGGGTGTTAGGAGAGGACATCTGTGGAACGGCTGGAGATCTGCGAAGAGCTTCATAGCTCATCGGATTCCTGCGGTCTGAAAAAATATTCCGAGAGGGCGTTGGGGGAGGGGGGTGTAGGTATG